CACACCAGTGTATATTGGTTCTTTTATTATGAATTCTTTTCTTTGCTTAGAATGGTACCCCATGAGGAAAGCGAATCATTCTAAAAGAAAAGAACAGGACAAGGAAAATACTGCATATAATAGAGATCCTGCTTTTTTTTATTGTTCTAAGGTAATTTAGTACTACTGGTAGCGCACATGCTTATAGTAAAGCTTTAAAAAAAGAAAACGGAAACTATTTTTAAAACACTTGGAAAATTAAATGTGTAATTTAGAAAGAAACAGAAATCAAGCAAAAGAATTTCTAAATTATTAATTAAAGACAAATTTGGTTTTAACACTTTTCCATTTTGACTTATAATTTTAAATATTATTTTCTTATCTTGCCTAAATCAGTTTCATTCTTAGAGTAAATTTCATTATTAGATTAAATTTCAATGTATAATTAATAACTGTAAATTTATAAAAAGTAAACTGTTCTGTATTAAACAGGGCCTAGCCTGCCTAGTGTTTTTTTTCTATCAAAAACCTGGGGCTTATCAGGTGTTTGATGAAAACCGTAGCTTTTTTCAAAAATAGTTTAAATTTTTATTTCCGATTACCCAATAAGAATGCATGATTTGCTTCCAACAAGAAAGTTAAATATTTGGTTACTATTTATAACTTGTTTTGTTGCAATTTAAAAATTTTTTTTTTTGTTAAGGTTTTAGATTGTAACGCTATTATTTTTATTTCTTTAAGATAAACAGATTGTTAAATAAAAAATTAAATCTAACTCATTTAAAAGATCCCATATTCTTTTTGTTATATAGTCTAATTAAAATAAAATTTTATAATTAATCATTTTTTTTCCAGTTCACATTGCAACTTAATATACTGTTTTTTTTTTTAATTTCTATTCAACTTTTGGTTACTTTAAAATTAGTTAATGTTTTTAGCTGGATTATTTAGTTATATTATGTGAAGTTAATTCCTAATAACAATGAGGAACCTGCATGCTTTTTTATGTTTTAAAATGAAACATCATGCCATTTTATAAAGATAGACACCAATTTCAGACTGATGCGATAACTAGTTATTTTGTTATTAATAGTTGAAATCGCTCGATTAGCCCCGCCCCCTAAATCGCTGCTAGGTTTCCCATCTGCTCTGATGACGTCACGATACAGTACAACCACAACTCCCATCATGTGAAACGGTGAAAGCATATGCCGCTCCGAGTATAAATTTTAAAAATTGGCTCCAAGCAAAAACTACAAGTGTTGCATTGTACCATGTGCAATAGTTCTACATTAAACACGCCAAATAAATTATTTTTTAGTGTACCAAAAGAAGAAAAAAGACAAATTTGGTGCAAAGCCATCAAACGCGATGAAAAAAATACTTGCAAATTGTCTGCAACTACTGCATTATACTGTTGCTAAGACCATTTTACAGTAACTTACTTAATTATAATTTAATTCTATAAGATTGTTTTTCTGATTGATAAGCTTCTCTGAATGAATAATTCATTATACTGAATTTTAAAATGTTTTTGAAATGCTGTTCAGATCACTTTCTTTCTTTCTTTCTTTTTTTTTTTTCTTTATTCTTTAAAATGAAAGAATTTTATTCTGACAGAACAGTTGTGTACAGGTTCTTTTTTTTAAAGTTAAAAAATAATTTTATTTGGAAGAAAAAATTATGAAAGTTAAAATAAAAAATGATAGGTGTTTAGCATTATTTACATTTCTTCAAAAAAAATTTAATCAAATATTTTAGAAGTTAATAATAAAAAAGAATTTTTTAAAACATTTTATTTACCTAAAAACTTATAATTCCAGGTCATATACCATTCATTCCATTCCCTCTAATTGGGATCAACTTATTAAATAAAAAACTTTCAAAACAGTTCAGACTTTTATGTATAGACAAATATAAATAAAAATGAATCAGTATAAATAAATAAAAATGAATTTATTTCAAAAGTTGTTAAAAAAAATGTAGTTTCGATATTTATTTTTTCATTCCTCAATTTTATTTCATTATGCTGAAAGGTGCTCACAAAAATTTTCTCAAGGAGGAGGATGCAACTGATATACACTACATATATATTTAAACTATATATAAATAATATAAGCATGAAAGAAAAACAATTTTTAAAAAATGCGGTTCAAATTAAAACGCCTTTGTAACACAATTTTAGATAGGAAGCTTTGGTTTAACTCCTCCCGTTCGCTGATATACTGTATCTTGACGTCATAGCAAACCACGCCTCATTTTGTGTCACGCGAAGTTAGTTTTGTTTTGGGCTAATTTTAAGATAAGTTTTTTTTAATATTCGGGTCAGTTTTTTAAATTCTGAATTGATTTTAGGGAGTTTTAAGATATAAACTATTCAAAATAATCAACATTCTGCGATTACCCGAAGCATGCAGGTTCCTCATTTTGGTTGGAAATAATTTATATAAAGCTAATTATAAAAGTAAATATAACATATTTGCTATTTAGTAATAATTTCAAAATGGTAAAGTTACAAACCATTTTTAATATGTTTTTCTTAAAATGTTTAAAAGTTTTTTTTAATTACTACTATTTTTATAAAATGATATGCAATACGGTGATATTACAAGATTACTTCTAAAAAGAATACCACTTTTAGTTTTTAACTGTTAATTTGAGATAAAAATAAAACATCAAATCTCATAACAATAGTAGAGAATATTAAGAAAGGATCGATGCTAAAGAAATATCAGAAGTAAACGCTTTTAAACAATGAAAAAATAAAAAAATTATTTCTTAATTAAGGAACCTTACCAATTTTCTAGCCATATAAATGTGCTGAGTACTTTGAAAAATCATTTTAGACCATTTTATTTAGATGTTACACTGAGAACTAATCTATCTTAGTTTGAAAATTATAAATCTTCTCATGCATAATTGTATTTTTATCCTATAAAAATTTTCATAAAATATTTATTTCAATGAATTTAAAAAATGTTAAATTAAGCTTTCTGAAAAAAAAAAAGTAGGACAATTTATGGTGTTTGGATATTAGTAGGGCCTTGTATTTACTTGGGATAGGACTTAATTTAAAATGACATAGTTAAGAAAACTCTCATGCATAACCCTAAATCAACTTTTTAGCATTAATTCTTTTATTATATACCCTTATGAATAAACTATTAATTTTACAAACTGAACGAGGGGATTCTAAGACCGAATTCAATTTCAATGAAATCATTAAAAAAGGAGTTAGTTTCATAGATGCCAATAACCCTTAACAATTTGAAAGTATTTCGAGTTTACTTACCACTATTATAATATTTATTATTATTTGAAAAAAATATGTTTCAATATAATATTAATTAAATTAATTGTAAATATGACAATAAATTATTGATTTTTGCCAACGCCATTTGCTAACATTGGATACAGTAAGTAAAAATGCCATGCCACTTATAAAACGGTGTCATTGGTTTTGCTAAGAGTTAAATTATATAAAAGCATTTTTTTTTTATATTCTATAAAAATATATAGACTTAACTTATTAATTATATCTTACAGTTTAATAACATTTTCAAGCTACATTAATAATTTCATTTCATTATGAAAAACTGATAATTTTTCATAAATGAAATAGTTAAATTTAATTTCTAATTTGAATCACAGAAGATATATCAAAAATGCAATATTAGTATCATACAAAAAGTTAGGCTCTCATAATGGAAATCTTATTATTAATAAGAACAATAATTATAATTTTATATAAGTTAAAAAATATTTGTAAGGTTCAAGGAGCCCCATAGTTCTATAAAGAGCAGTTGCTTCACTTTTCCATTATAATTAAAAACACATAAGTAATCACTTAAAACAAGATGAATAAATTTCAGTTATCAAGTCAATTTATCTTTAATTATTTGAAAGTCTTGTTCTAAGGTGAAATTATTTTGCTTTTAAATCAAAACCTAGTCATCTAGTTCAATAAGTTTTCCAAAAAAAAGCACCTTGGAAAAAATTGAGTTTCTTTAAGTGCACCCACTGAAAAAAAGCCTGAAGTTCGCGAAATTTGCCCACTTTGGCAAAGCTTGGTAATAAATACTATTACATCATTACTTGCATTACAATGAAATTATTATTTTATTTAAAAAAGGGTAAATAATTGGCATCATAACTAGGGTATATGTATACTTGAGGATAAATAGTTATTATACTATGTTTTGTTTAAACTCATTAATTTTTTTCAAGAAAAAGTCCTTAATTTTCATTTTGTTAGAAAAGTGGGAACCCTGAGTGTGTAATTTGTGAATTTAATTACATTTATACAACTTTATTAGGATATTTTAAGAGTTCTACATTGGATTATGATTAGGTATTACTATAAATATACTCTTATACACAAAATGTGGAATAAAAACTACAATTTCTTAAGAAATTCATTACAATATTTTTTTCTTCTTTCCAGTTGTTGCGTATTAGCTTACACTTATTAAAAAAAGATTTGTAAAAGATAAGTATGCATTAAATAGCTTGGAATTTAATGCTATTATTTAAACAAGATTGAAACTATTAACTGTTCTTAAACCTCATTTTAAATATTTCTTAGAGTTACTCTTTTTTTTCCTGATTGAGTTGGAAAAAATTATTTCTTCCGAGGTAATGTTTTTCTAAAGCAGAAGAAATTATAATAATTATAATTTAAAACAGGGTTTAGGCTTTGTTATCAAAAACTGAAACACTAGCTAATAGTTATGCATGTGAAATTTCTTATAGTATAGTTAAAATATTTATGTTCATCACTAAATACATGTTAATATATAAATTTTAATGTTTTATTTTTTTTACTCTATCTTTCCTTTTTATTGTTTATTTTTATTTGAGAGCTAACATTTTAAGGAATTTTGAAATAGATTCCTTGCAATCTTAACATTGTAGAATTATTGTTCATGTTTTTGAAATAGTATCATTATAGTATTCATGTTGTTGCTGCATAAAATTAAAATCATAATCTGTTGGATTAATTAGACAAAAAAAAAAAAATATACAAAATGTTAATAAATTTTAATGTAACAACAAAGGAATCTGAACAATTTGCAATTCTTGTCATTTAAATTTTTTGAGTAAAGAAATGATGGCATAAATATCTTCTTTAGGGTAATTTAACAACTATAAAGGATACAGCAGATCTTTTGTTAACATATTATGGTCCATATTTCAAATATATTTATGGAATAAAAGAATTTGTTAATGTGTATAGTAAAACTAGTACTCAACATTGCATGCAATTTAATAAAATAAATACAAATTATTAGACTTTTGATTCAAGTCAATGAATTGACGGATTTAGCCTTATAAAAGTGACTTGCAATTCAAAAATATGTTGCAGCACCTAAGTTGTTTTTTAACACAAAATTATCATTATTTATTATTGCAGCATAATGCGATTACTATTTTTAACAGCATTATTTGATATCCAACTCTTCAAGAGTGCTTGTCAAGAAATGCTCTGCAGGATCGTAAACTCTGTTGATAAACTTCTTCAAATCCATCTGCATCATCATCCTAAACACATTAAAATATAATTATTTATAAATCATACTATTAGTTCTAAAAGTAGAAATGAAATGCCTTAACATAATAAATTAGAACAAATTGTATAATTAATTTTAATTCTGATTTCAAATGTGTAAGCAGTTCTCTTATATCAGCTTTACTTTTAGATTAGCATTGCAAAACAAAAAATGCTCCTTTTAAGTAGTATAAGAAATATGTTTGTTGCTTTTGATTGAAATTCTGGCTGCACATGAGAAAAAGTTTCTGGAATAGGTCATTTCAGAGGCATTGATGGTTATTCATCTACGGTGGAGGAAAAGGGTAACTTTCGATATTCACGAAAACTCTCATAGACAGCTGTTGTTTTATGGCATTGTTAACACATGCTTTTTTCGACATCTTGAGCGTCTCGGAATGCGATTTCTCGATCAAACTGCATAATTCGATGTTCGGCTCCACAGACAGCATTTCAAAGTTTTGACAAATGAAAAATTTACTTTGCAGGGTTCTGTCAAGGTTTTTTTTGAGAGGTACCTATTTTGTGAAAATTTAGACAAAATTTGTGAAAATTAAAAGTTACATAAAAAGTTAACACCAAAGTATGGTAAAATAAGAATTTTTTTTTCAATGATTGTCACTACAAATAAAAATCATTTATGACCGGTAAGTTTCTATATATTTTCCCCATATATTTAAAAATAATTTTGCAATTGTAAAATTTTGAGCATAAAATTGTATCCAGATTTAAAAATCCATTCTCCATAGTTAAATTTCGACTTGCATTTAACAAACTAGAACTAATTATTTTCATAATGAGAACATTTTCGATAGGTCATACAAAAATAAGCTTTCATAGGGTAAAAAATTTTGCATAAAAAAATAAAGGTCTGTTGGAATAAATTTACAATAATGTTAAAGATAAGGTTTAGAATGTTGTTCGAATTTCAACCTCCTGTATAGTTTATAGAGAGAGAATCTTGTTATTTCATTTAAAAAAACTCTGAAATATATAGTTTTATAGGGACACAAAAACGAAATATTAAGAAGTATAGAATCTTAGAACTTGCTTTTTTAAAGTTTTTTTATAAAGCTACCCGTTTTTTCTAAAGTTTAATTTGTGAAGGTACTGCTAACAGTTGTAAATTTGTCCTGGACAGATCCCTGCTTTGTCATAAATGATCTGCAGCTAGTGCTTTAAATATTTATCCTCTCAAATTTTCAGTTTAACGGTGGTAAATGGGTGCCCTTTTCTGTGAGAAAGCATTCTGACCCTTTTTTTATTTCTAGTGTGGACTCTGCATAGGTATATATTATCTGGATATCTCAGAGATCTTCCTATTGGATATTGGAGGGATATCTTAATCCTTCAAAACTTTAAATTAATGGATTGACTATAAAAAGTTAATTTAATCTTTACAACCCATAACTTTATCAATAAAATTATTTCTAACATTACAGAATGTAAAATATAAATAAAACCGTGCTATAAATAAAACCATATAATTTAAATTTGCAGAGCAAGGCAACAAGTTCATCTAGAGATTTAAATTTTCATAAATCATTCATAATTAGCAGATAAAAAATATTAAAGTGCTTATAATAAAAATTCTTCATATTGAAGTGAAGGTTTTTCATATTAAATAAATTTTTTCATTTAGCAATTTTTTTTCTTTTTCTTAATAATTTTTAAAGTTTTTAGTCAAATTTTTTATTAACAGGAAAATATTTTGTCATAAACTTAAGACAAAATTACATAAACTATGCAAGGCTAGAGAGTTATTAATGAATCCAATCTATTTATTGTATTACAAATGCATAAAATATTTGCAACATATATTTTTTTTTATAAAGATTGACACTATAAGCATCAGTAATAGATTGTAAATCTGTATCTACCATTTGGATTCTATGTGTTTGGTAACTGAAAATATTTTTACACGCAAACCTGTTACAGTATCATTTTGAAGAACTTGCTTTTCCTTTAACAAAATAGTCAAATCCTTAGTAGTTAAGCATAATATTTCAAATAGAAGTTCTGACTAAACAATATTTTTAGTTTAAGTGTAGCATAGTTATTAAAGTTAAGTATTTTAAACTAGATAAGGTTGATTGATTGAATGCAGGGTTTAATGGCACAAAAACCAAATATAAACTAGATAAGGATACTTTAAAAAAAAAAATACTTTAAAATAATCTGAATCAATTTGTTTTCATGTTTTTGTAAATAATCAAATTTTAGTCATATTTTTATTTATAATAAATTTCAGGAAACAAATTGTAATAAATTTTTTATGTAAAAAATTTGTAACAAAATGTTACAATTTTTAGTTTTAAGTATAATGACCTGAACAGCCATAGCTGAAATTATTAATAAAAGAAAAAAATATTATATATTTAACAAAAGATATTTTTATACATTTCTTTTTATATATTTTTAACAAAAATGTTTTACTTTTAAGCATAATGAAGTTCTCATCATACTAAAGAATAATAAAGTTATTATATGAAAGCAATTTTTCTTTCTACGATCCTCTTAGAAAAGGTTACAAGCTACATTGGCACACAATAGTATATTACACATTTCTATGGATTTTAAGAATTATAAAAACATGTAACATATACAAACATGTAATATATACAAACATGTGCAAAGTGATTTATGAACACCTGAAAGACAAACACTTGCAAGTGTTCGTCTCTTCACTTTTTTATGATCATTTGGTGTTTGCTCGTATCACTTATGAAAGATTCTTGTTTGTATAACCGAAACAATAGTATGTTTATTGCTTTGGTCAGCACAGTACAGTAGGGAACCGATTATCCGGAACGATCGGGACCATCGCTATTCCGGATAACTGATTTTTCCGGTTTTCTGAATCGCTACAAAGAGCCGTTTTTTTATTGTTAAACTCAACTAAAATAAATATATATATTGGGAAATAATCTTAAAAGAAGAAAAAACGATGAAGTAATACACTAATGATTATTTCCAAAATGATGGTANTAGATTTTACGAAATATAAATTTCATGATAATTGTCATATAATATACTAAATATTTAACATTTAGGGGATATTAGGGATTTTTATAATCCTCAAAACAGAAAAACTGCAATATTTTCGTTATGATTGATGTTAAACATCATGTATACTCATAATTTCGTATATAAAAAGGCATTTAATACATAAAAGATAGTAAAAAGAATTTTGAATAACTTAAAAAAAAAAAATAAACTGAACATCTTATAACAAAAAAAGTTTTGAACTGAATTCTATAAATGAGATTCGCTTCATTATGTACTAGTAATACATATTTAAATATTCAAGCAACAAACTATAATCAGTACAAAAATTCCATTTCAATAGGGATTTTTTTTAGGAAACTTACACAATTTTAGGGAACTTTCTAAAATGTACAAAAACCAGAAGAATTTTAATTAAACCAGCGGGCAAAGAGAAACTGAAAAAAATCCAGTAGAGTTGGCAGCTATGATTCTATAATCTTTCTGTATGTGAATAATTATTGAAAAAATGTTACTAACATACATATTGTTATTTAAAAAAATATTACGCACCGATGAAAATGATTTCCACGTCCCCCCAAAATTATCCTTACATATAAAAATTATAGGAAAAGAACTATATATCAGAGAATTAACCATCATTTAATTAAACATATATTAACCATCTGATTGCAACTGATGAATCAGAATAAAGGGTGCCGCATGGAAAGGTTTTAAGAATAGAATTTTTAAAAAAATATATAATCAAAGTTACATAATAAGGATCACGAATGATGCACGGTCCTTCAGGATCATAATCTCCCAAAAGTTCAATTTTAGATTTGATATTCTTAGGTGCCATTCTCTTTAGATCTCTGTAATGAAAGACAAAAACATATTATAAATTTAATGTGATTTATTCAGTTCAAATATTTAATAGAAATGAAAAATAGTTTAATGACACAAATAGTAAATTTTACTAGAACCTCATCACATTTCAGTGCCACATAAAATTACCTTTTTCATCAATTTTGAATCTTTTTTTTTATTATTACTAATAGTGAAATTTGTTTATTTCTGTCATTTTTTTAATACTATGATTTTTTTTTCTTTTTAAGTTAATTCTGCTAAGTCATGAAAACTGCATATACTGATAATGTTAAAATATCCCGACTTTTATGTTACCTGCTTTAAGGCAATATCCCTTCATCTGTTTTTTTTTTGAAGACGTTTATTAGCTGTTTTATTAACATTCTTTCTATTCTATCTTAATTGTCCTTTTATACATCAGTGGGGTCAGCCATAATCAAAAGAGTGGGTGGGGATGGGTTGAGCATGAGAGAAACCTTTCGTCATAAATTCTCTTTTGCCTCCATAACTAATTTTTAAGCATAGAAAAACAGAGTTTCGACAAACCTAGAGTAAATCACGAAATTTCGAACATTGACAAGAAAATTTCAAAATTATCGAAATACAAATAAATGATGAGAAAATAACTTAGAACTTCTCACTGGAGAAGTTCTCTTCTTATACTTTGCTTGCATTTTGAAATTTTCATTTGAATTCAGCTATAGCATTGGAGATGAAAGAGAATTCGCAACGGAAAATTTCACTCGTGGTATGGCGTCCTCTTTGGGAGTGAAATTTTTTTTAGCAAGATTCACTCTTTGAAACTTGGAATTATCCAATCATTTTAAAAACATTAAACTAAAAAGCTTGTTAGTTAATAATTTCTTTTTCTTGATTCCAATGACTTGCGAGATGCCCCTAAAGCAAAAATAAATGTTCTCGAAGATCTGATTTTGATTTCTACAATAATGGACAGTGTCAACAAAAATGCATTACAAATGGGTTTAAGAAATCTTCTCGTATTTAATTGTTTCTTCTTATCCAATGGGAACATTGGCCTTTTGGAATAAAATTTTATGCCCAAAGATCTTCCGAGGTCAATGACACGTGTATCGAATGTATTGCATTTCCCATTATTTTTTAAATTCTTTTAATATCTGATTTAATGCTAGCTCCTGATAATAGTGATGAAAATGAGCAACAACAGGTGGAGGATATACCTATAACTGATCAAAAGTTTGAAAACATAAAAACTCTGAAACATTTGTACATGTAAACCATAAATCAAATTTGCAAACAATGGTAAGTATTTAGATGGCTATTGTTACAATTGTACCTAAAGAAAAGTGTAAAGATTACACTATTTTTCAAGTGGTTCATCTCGCAATTGTCAATTTTTGAAAAATATACTTAAATTTTTTTTACCCAGATTCTCTGTTATCCCACTTTGTGTGTTTGTAACACTAGTCCTATGAAAAACATGAAATTGGGGAGAAAATGTAAGTATATTTTTTAAAAATTGACAATTTATACAGATACAGTACAGAACCCGTTATCCGGAAATCAGAAAACCGGAAAACCAAAAAACCGGAACGAAATTCCATAAATTTTCCCACCATTTTTTAAAAAAAATGTTTTTTTCCTCATAAGATTTTTATTTCTTTTTTGAAAGATTTTTACCTTACCATCATTTTGGAAATAATCATTAATGTATTACTTAATCGTTTCTTCTTCTTTTTAAGATTTTTTCCAAATAATTTTTTTTAGTTGGGTTTAACAATAAAAAGAACGGCTTTTTGTAGCGATTCAGAAAACCGGAAAATTCAGTTATCCGGAATAGCGATGGTCCCGATCGTTCCGGATAATCGGTTCCCTACTGTATATAAAAAGCAATAAAAAAAGTTTCCAATTTCCCCACTTTTACAAAATCATATTTGTTATCTCTGAGTTGATTTCCACTCTGAAGAACAGTCTAGGGAAGATTCTTATTTTATATTTGCTTTATCTAAATCAAACAAATAAGCACAGCTTATATTCTTAAGTTTTTATGAAAATATCAACACTTACAATTTTTAAGACATGCTACAGAAAGAACACAATTGCGCAAAAGTAGTAAATATAACTGAAAAGGTAAGAAAAAGCTCTACTTAATATTAGCTTCATCCATTCCAAAAACATAATCAAAGGTTTCAAAATCTTCAGCAATTATAGGCCTGGCTTTGTGATCCATTGGAATGGAGTGCTTCTGTAAGCAACTTCTTGCTCTTCTGTCAGGATTTTTACCTGTATGGTAGTCTGCAGTAGCTGCACTATCGATATGCCACTTAAAATAAATTTAATTACAAATTACCAAAAAATATTAATAATAAGTAGTAATAGATTATTAAAAACATTTTTTTAAACTTTCCTCATCACAACAAAAGACTTCGTTCACTGTTTTCATTTAAGTTAACTAAAATATTGCAAATTATATATGAAGAGAAAAAAACATTTCAAGAATGATTCAAAACGTATTCACACAATACATAACGTATGCATTGTCTTACAATAAAATAATATAACTTCTCAATCATTATAGACAATGATAAATATTTAATATTAGAGTAGAAAAACAGTCAAAATTCTTTAATTCTACCCCAATCAATATTCGTGCAGAATAAATATTTAAAATTACATATTTATAATAATAATAATAAATCCAAAAGTTTTTGCATAAATATTTAACATTTTATCACGGTAAAAAAACAGCCAAAATTCCCTCATTCTACCCTCTAATCAATATAATGTAATGTTATACACATATCGCCTTTTTTTTTTTAGATGGTAACATAAATTAAGTAATTTGATTATAGTATTTCTCAGTGATGCTGAATCAATTCAGTTTTAATACTCTTAAGTTTTATACTATTTTTTAATTTATAATTGTAAGATTAAAAGACAACTACAGCAATTAACACAAAGAACCCTAGCCAAATCTGTCAACAAAAAATAAGCACGTTTAAAGTACTTTTTAAGCACTCAAAAAATATTTTTAAGCACTATATATGTCAAATATGTATGCCAACAAAATGCCAAATAATTTTCTAAGACTTTACATGATCATGATAAAATAACTAGTTTCTGACAAGGAACTCTTTATTTGATTATATTAGCCACCGTAAAAAGATTGAGAGATTTTATGGTTCGATTTCAGAGGGTGGAAAATGAAGCCTGAAATTGAGAATGTTTTGCAAAATGCAGCCAAGTTGCACATGAGAGTGCAAGAATCTCACTGAACCCAGCTCACTAGACACACATGCGAACTCCCAAGTCTTTCATCAAACATGTAAAATGATTGGAGCTTTCATACGTCGAAATAGATTGTGGTTTAATGAAATGTGAAAACGTTGGATAGAACAATGTGAAAAGCACGCTTATATATAATATGCAGCAAATGCCGACAAGGTAAAGAAAAAAAAATTTCATTTTTGAAAAGGGAAAATTAAGTACTTCTTTAAAAAAAAACCCATGAAAGAAGAACCTTTAAGGGTTTTTAAAATATGAATATTGAAAATAAATACACCTTAAAAACACTACGCAACATGATACAGAGAACAAACATGGGGAAGAAAAAGAACCATAAAGAACAAGAGAGCAACTGAACTATTATAAATTGTGCAAGAATTTTATTAATTAAATGTAGAAGAATTGAGCCTTAAAAATACTTGTTTGATGTTGCAATGTAATGCTTCTGAGTGACTTAAATTTTTGATATACAAAGAAAGCCAAGTTTACGCTAAAAAATATAAATCAATAACTAGTTTTGTACCTTCAAGAAACTGATAAATTTATAGAAATATATACTGGTATGTCTGAAATTCAACATAAAGTTACACAAAAATTAAACCATTTTTTAAAAAAACGGTGAGTTTGAACAAGTTTAGCCAAAATCAGAAGACCGCAAAAGGGTTAAACTAGCTACAAGAATCAATAAATTACTTCCATACACTGAAATATATGTGACAGTTGATCTAAAGGTTGTTGTGAATTTTAAGTGACAGATCAACACATTTATATGTTTTCGATGTTAAATGACATATTCAGTCAAAATTTCAGACAATTTATAAGATATTAATAATAACATACATAGCTGCAGACACGAAGTGAATAGACCTAAAATTCATATTCATTCTACGCACTTCCCACATTCCTTTAAATAACTCTTCTTTCAATAGTATCCTTCTCATTGCATTTAACTCTATGAGACTTATACTTTTAAACTCTTTTTTTTTTAAAAAAAAAATTTCCGTATATAAATAACTTTTAACAAGAAATTCAATGTTTTACAAAAAAAAAATTAATGGTTTATTTGACTATAATAACATGAATAAACAAAAAAAGAATTACAGTAGATTAACCGAGGTTTCTGTTAACCGAAGCAATAAAGAAGTCTAAATTTTTTTTCCTCCTCTCCAAAATGAGCTTGGAAGAAATTATACACATATTAGTTCGTTGTCCGTGTTACAGGCTCTTATTCCCCACAAAAGCACTCAACTTCCATGAAATATTACACCCTGAGAAGACAACATCCATGAATGCTTTGTTAACAGTGGTTATGTAAGTTTATCAGTATGTAAGTTTAATCATGTAAATTTCAAAAATACAATATTTTCTTGAGATTTGTGTTATTTTTGAAAATGCGTCTTTCGATATTTAACTAAGTATAGTTAAAAAAAAATCCATTTTATTTTTTAAAATTTACTACTAGAGTTTATTTCCTTTTTAAATCTGTTTAGCTGTGAAACATAAGTTAATATATGTTTATTTTTATCATTTAAAAAACGTTTTATTGTTTTTTACTTTAAAAGTAGTTAAATTCGCAATATACATGGTTTCTATTAACCGAGATTTCCGATATCCGAGGTACTAGCAGTTCCAATTAGCTAGGATAATCGAGGTCTTACTGTACATACAGTTATCATAGATTTTAAAGCTATTTGTTTAACAAAGTGTACGGAAATTTAAACGAATTTTTATAATTTTACAGATAATTTTTCTTAAACAAGGAAAAAGAGAAAATAACGAACTATTCGANAGTCCCAATTAGCTAGGATAATCGAGATCTTACTGTACATACAGTTATCATAGATTTTAAAGCTATTTGTTTAACAAAGTGTACGGAAATTTAAACTAATTTTTATAATTTTACAGATAATTTTTCTTAAACAAGGAAAAAGAGAAAATAACGAACTATTTGATAATTTATGCAGTAATAAATATCCTAACTTTAATTTAATACAATTTTTTTTCCTTTGCTCCTTGATAACAGAAATAGAAATTTAGAATAATTCTCAATATCAAATTACGTTCTTTTTCTTGATGCTGGTATTTGATTAGTTCAAATAAATGTTCACTCAATGTCTTAAAATTCTTTGTTTTATCTTTCAATAGATAAAATAATGAATGTTAATAAATAAAAAGGTAGATAGTTCATATTTTAAATAGGGATCCAAAAATACGAAAATTCTAGGCCAGCAGTTTAAAGAATCACTAATTTTAAAATTATTAAATTGCAATTATGCCCGTCCCTCTCTTAAAAAGCACAGGTTAAAAATTTTTTTTTAAAAAAATTGGTTCTTCCCATTTTGAAATAAATAAAAAAAAATCTTGAAATCTTACTTTACTTTCTAATCCTTTTTCCTTCACACAATGTGCAAACACAGCTTCTGCCATAGGAGAACGACAAATGTTACCTACAAAATTAGGACATAAATACAGAAATAATCAATACAATAAAAAAATTTCTTTACAACACATTATTTTTAAACATTAAAAACTAATGCATTGCATTGGAGATGTAGCACCTGAACCACCCCAACTGCAGTGGAGTACACTTTGGAGCTTCAAGATCAAGAACACACAGGAGTACTATATCAAAGACCACAAGCTCTTTATTTGCAACTTTATCAGAAGACAGGGATGGGCCAACTGTGGCCCGCCAGCACAAACAGCTTGAATTGGTCAAATGTTGAAAGCACAAGTTCTTTGTAGAATAGCCGTAGATTGGTGACTTTCTCGAGGAGCAGACATACGGAATCTAATATAGTTGAATTGTACTTCACATGTGGCAGGCTGCACATTTTAAGCTCCAACAAGTCTATTTTTCTGCCAGCATGAGTTCTAGCATAATTTATCGCGTTTAAAAAGATTGCACACATATAACGCTATTCCAAATAATGGTGAAATTAGTAAATGCATAAAATAGCTACTAAAAAACGCAAAGTTGATTCAGAGTATTGTGCGTTCAATGCTGAATGGACTTGGAAATATTTTTTTTCAGTTGTAAAAGATAAACCGGTATGTCTTATCTGCAATGATGCTGTAGCAGTTTTTAAAGAATATGACATCAACCGACATTTTACAGCCAAGTACAACAACGAAGAAATCCATGAATGTGAAAGGAGACAAAATGCAGAGCGTCTTTTTAATGGATTAATCAAGCAGACAAAATTTTTTCAAGAAGATAAACAGTATAACAGATAAACATCTCATTAAATATTTAATTAAAACTAGAGTATGAATTTTTTTTATTGCAGAAGTTTTAACTTGGCCCACCAAACTTTTTTTCTTCGATTTTTTGCCCTCCACGATAAAAGTTTGCCCATCCCTGCTCTAAGACATGACTCATGAGCTATTTAAACACATAAGCACCTTGTAATTATTTTTTAAGCACCATATAGATTAACAAAATGCAAAATAGTTTTCAAAGACTTTACATGATCACGATAAAATGACTAGTTTCTGACAAAGAACTCTTTTCTTGATTATACCAGCACTTTTTTTTAGTTACTCACGGGCCTCCTATAAAACTTGGTGGAATCTACCACAGATCGCGATAGGGCAATCTCCCCGAGCTTTTCTTTAAATTTAACGAGTTATTCTATTAAAATAAACAACAGCAAAAATTTCTAAAAAGTACTATGTTTTATTTCCAAAACAGTGCCCCATGGTCCGGCTGCAGGAACATTTCTTTGGGGGATATTTCTGTATCTTGATCTGTCGTGCCAACCACAATAGCCAAGGTGCCAAATAGATTTTAAATTTGCAAATTTAAAAAAAAAAAAAAGTATGTAGAAGTTAGCCTGGGGGTGGTTACGAGGGGGAGATTTCCATATCCTGAACTGTGGCAGAATAATCGCCAAGACTTAGAAACTTGAGGGCAACGGCCTACGAGAAACGAAAATATCCCCAACTAAAAAAAACATCACAGAAAGGGACCAACATCTACTTTTCTTTTTTTTTTAAATTTGCTTGTTAAAAATCAATTTGACACCTTGGCAGATCAGGATACGAAAATCTCCTTGAACCCCTCAAACGGGAAAGTATTTATTGATAATCTATAGAAAAAAAACAGATTTTCTTCACTTACATTATTTTAGCCAATTTGCAAAGATCACAGATACTACATTATATCTGTTCTTTTTTATTTAAGAATTTGTTAAATTTTGAATGCATGTTATTCGGTCGAGAAAGCGAGTGGAAAATGAAGTTTCATAAAATTAAAGATTCGTAAAATGTATCTTGGGGAATTATAAAGAATAAAGCAGTTACCTAAGCATACAAACAGGACAGATTTCTTCTCACTAGACATATTTTAATTGTATATTACTATGAGCTTTTCTTTAAATTTCGCAAATATTCTGTCAAGAAAAAAGCAGCAATTGAAGCAATGGTTTTTCAATTCAAAATCGAGAGTTAAATAGTAAATAAACTAACCGTTAAAGTTACAAATAGGCAAGGCCAAGATAGGATGATGTGTGTTGAGCTGTCAGCTAAGCGACTGCTTTTCTGAAAAATTTTATTAAAGATTATTAATATAGCTCAATAGTATTGAATAAAAACCTCTTAATATTTATTTGTTTGAACATTGCTAGTCATGATGGTGATAACGAAATAAATTTTAAAATCCGTTATATTTACAGTTAATAGAAGGAAACATGGTATCGGTTACCATGGGAACAGCTGCAATCACAACAATAACATTCAAGACGAAGTGTTTGGAGAATCAAGACACTTAATCAGTTAAATTTAGGAGAAAATAATGCGTTTAAAGCATATTAAAACAATAGTTCCATCTCAAGATGGATCCGAGAGAGTTATGGCTATGTGTTGGTCTCCAAATAATAGAAAACTTGCTATTTGTACTTCCGACAGGGTTATTTTGTTATTCGATGAAACTGGAGAAAAAAGAGACAAGTTTTCAACAAAACCTATCGATCCAGTGTATGGTAAAAAAAGTTATGTCGTCAAAGGTATGTCATTTTCAGCAGATTCTACGAAAATTGCTATCGCGCAAAGTGATAATATAGTGTTTGTCTACAAACTTGGGGAAAGTTGGGGAGAAAAAAAAGTGATTTGCAATAAATTTCCATGTCAGAGCGCTGCTACATGCATCACTTGGCCATCAGATGGACCTCTTGTGATTGGCCTTGCCGAAGGACGCGTCCGTGTTGCACACATAAAAAATAACAAAACATCCACTTTGTATAATTCCGATTCTTACGTTATTTCACTCACGAGTAATATTAGTGGTAAAGGAGTTATATCTGGTCATGCAGATGGTACTGTTGTTCGATTTTTTTTCGATGATGAAGGAACTGGTGATATTCAAGGTAAAATACTAACACATACCTCCCCGCCTTATGCTCTCGTTTGGGCAACTAATTCCATCATTGCAGCAGGTTGCGACAAGAAAATAGCTATTTATGGAAATGACGGTGCTCTTAAAAAACAAATCGATTATAGCCGTAACACGAATGAAAAAGAATTCACAACAGCTGTTTGTAGCCCAAGTGGGAAGACAGTGGTGATCGGCAGTTACGATCGATTGAGAATTCTGAATTGGAGTGCCCAACATCACGAATGGGAAGAAGCTAAACCAAAAGAAGTTACAAACTGGTACACAATATGTACTTTAGCTTGGGCGAAAGACGGGTCGAAGCTTTCTGTCGGTACATTGACTGGTTTAGTGGAATTATTTGATTGTAGCATGAAGAAGTCCTTATATAAAAGGATATTTGAAGTCACATACATAGATCCCAGTCAAGTGATTATAAGAAACATTTCTAACAACCTTCAAGTGAATATTAAATCGTCAAACTCTTATGAAATATTGGATCTTAAAATTTTAGGTAAAAATAGATATGCTGTTATACACACTTCACAAACTCTAATTCTTTGCGACATGGAAGCGAAGTTGACGAGTGAGGTGCCGTGGTTCGGTGTCGGTGAAAATGTAAAGTTTTTTTTCGATTTTGAGAATGTATGCCTCGTGTTCAATGTGGGTGAGCTGTCCTTGATCGAGTACGGCAACAATACGATATTGGGATCGGTGAGAACGGAGTTCATGAATCCGCACCTCATAAGTGTTTGCCTTAACAAACGCAATGGCGAACCTCTCTCCAATAATAAAAAACTTGCATACTTAATAGATCTTAAAACTATCGCAGTATTGGATCTGATGACCAATCAGCTTTTGATTCAAATAAGTCACGAGTCGAAGATCGATTGGCTGGAGCTGAGTGAGACGGGCCGTAAACTGTTGTTTCGTGATAGGCGACAGAGACTCAACCTGATAGATATAATAAAAGATGAGAAAAAAACAATGCTAAATTATTGCTCTTTCGTTCAGTGGGTGCCGGGAAGTGACGTCGTCGTCGCTCAAAGTCGAGGTAGTCTTTGCGTCTGGTATAATATTGAAGCTCCCGATAAAGTTTCTATCATTCCCATCAAGGGTGAAATATTAGAAATTCAGCGAAGTGATAATAAAACTGACGTTATTGTGAGTGATGGTACCTCGGTCACAACGTATGCCTTAGATGAGGGAATGATTGAATTTGGAAGTGCCATTGATAACCATGATTTTAAAAGAGCAGTCGTGTACCTAGAAAAATTAGGCTACTCAGAAGAAACCGAGGATATGTGGGCAAACTTAGGGAAACTTGCCTTAGATTCACTCAATTTACAAATAGCAGAACGTTGCTATGCTGCTGTAGGTGACATATCTAAAGCTAGATATTTGAGAGAAACTATTTCAATAGCTAATGATGCTGCAGCCAACTCGGGTAGTGATGGGTATGATTTTTACCAAGTGAGAGCTCGATTAGCCATAATGACGAAGGACTATAAAGTTGCTGAAAGCATCTACGTAGAACAGAACAAAATTGAGGAAGCCATACAAATGTACCTCGATTTGCACCGTTGGGAAGATGCAATTGAACTAGCTAAAGTGACTGATCATCCTGATTTGGAAAGACTCAATGAAACTTACTTTGAATGGCTGCAAACAACTAATCAAGAAGAGAAAGCAGGCGAACTGAAAGAAAATAAAGGTGAATTTCAAGAGGCAATTCGTTTATACTTAACTGCTGGATTGCCAACCAGGGCAGGTCGTGTTATATCTAGCATGCCACTGTTAGCAGAAAATGATGAGTTAGTTCAAGAAATAGCCTCAGCACTGATGAAAGGTGAATTCTATGAGCATGCTGGTGATCTTTATGAAAAAATTAATAGTTACCATAAGGCTCTGGAATGCTATAGGCTTGGGAATGCATTTAATAGGGCTGTTGATTTAGCTCGCACAGCATTTCCCGAAGAAGTTATACATTTGGAAGAAGAATGGGGCGACCACCTTGTATCAATCAAACAACTAGAAGCTGCAATTAATCACTATATTGAAGCTGGGAAATCAGTAAAAGCTTTGGATGCTGCAATAAATGCAAAGTTGTGGAAAAAAGCTGTAGAAATAATGGAAATTATTGATGACTCTCAATCGATGAGTAAATATTTAAAGCCAATGGCACAACATTTTTATTCAGTTGGCCAGTATGAACTGGCCGAGCATTTACTAGTTGAAGGAGGCATGTCTCGTGAAGCCGTAGACATGTATAATCGTATAGGCGAGTGGGACAAAGCTTATAAAATTGCCAGTCAGTTTCTGGATTCCGCAGAAGTGCGTCGAATGTATATTTCTCAGGCGAAGGTTCTTGAAGAAAAGGGTGACTACAAAGATGCTGAAAAACTATACACTTCAGCCCAAGAATATGATTTAGCTATTGCAATGTATGAAAATCTTAAACAATATGACAAAGTGTTGAAAATGATAAAAAAGTACTATCCTGAAAAGTTACCTGATACTTACCTTCATATAGCTAAACTGTTAGAAGAGGATGGAAAATATGGGCAAGCAGAAGATTACTACTCAACTGCTGGAGAGTGGAAAGTAGCTGTCAATATGTACCGAAACTTGGACATGTGGGAAGATGCATACAGAGTAGCCAAAACTAAAGGAAATGACATTGCTGCTAAACAGATAGCTTATTTATGGGCTAAAAGTGTAGGAGGTGATTCTGCAGTTAAACTTCTTAATAAATTTGGTTTGCTAGAAAGTGCTATAGACTATGCCACTGAAAACTGTGCATTTGATTTTGCTTTTGAATTATCTAAAACCTCAATGAAGCATAAACTTCCAGATATACACCTAAAGTTTGCTATGTTCTTAGAAGATGAAATGAAATTCAAAGAAGCAGAGTTAGAATTTATTCAGGCACAACGACCAAAAGAAGCAGTTTTAATGTATGTGCACAATCAGGATTGGGAGAGTGCACAAAGAGTAGCAGAAGCCCACGATAAAGAATCAGTTTCTGACGTACTGATTGGGCAAGCGAGATTTGGGTTTGAGCGTGGTGAGTACCAAAAAGCAGAATCTCTTTTATTGAGAGCTGAAAGAGCTGATCTGGCAGTAAAGTTCTATAAAGAAGCTGGCATGTGGAATGATGCTCTTAGAGTTTGTAAAGATTATACACCCAATAAACTGATGGAACTTCAGGAAGAATATGAAAGCGAAAGTTCTGAGAAAGGCTTGAGAGATGCCCAGCAGTTATTTGAACAGGCCTCTAGCTGGGAAGAGACGGGTCAGTATCAGAAGGCCATTGATCGGTATTTGCAGGTCTCTCCTTCTAATTCGAAAAATTTTGATTTTATTGAAAAGTGTTGGGTGAAAGCTGCAGAACTCTCTTGGAAGTTTATGAACAAGCAGCATACTGAAAAGTTAATTCAGCAAATTGCACCACAGTTGCTACAAATGAAAAAGCAAACAACTGCTGCGCAATTATTTTTAAAAATTAATTCCATTAAAAATGCTTTAGATGCTTTAATTGATGCAAAAGATTGGAGCAAAGCCAAAAGAGTAGCAGCAGAGGTGGATCCTCGCTACGAAGAGTATGTTGATAATTGTTATAAAGATTTCTTAAGATCAGAGGGTAATACATCAGAATTAGCTGACATAGATGTTATTGCAGCTCTGGACTTGTATGCAGAAAGAAATCAATGGGAAAAGTGCTTAGAGGTTGCTCAGAAACAAGGCATGAAAGTACTGCATAAATATGTGGCAATACTGGCCGTTAAACTTATAAAAGAAAGAAAAGAGCAAAAGGCATTAAGTTTATACGTAAATTATGGCATCCCTCCAATGAGCCAGAATTTCTCGATCTACCGCCATATTATCTCAGCCATTTTTCGAATGCCAGACACCTTTAACCATGAAGCTTATTCTCTCTGGTCTAATTTGCGAAATATACTATTCCAATTATGTCAAAGTTTGCAAAAAGTTAGTAGTGAGGAATGCGACGAATTTAACACTTATTTAACAATTGCCCATTATTATTCAACAAGATCGGCTTGCTTGGGTCACCCGAGTCTCGAACGGCAAGCCGTGAAAATCTCACTCAGTCTGTTGAGGAATGCTGATGTCATTCCTGCCGATAAACTCTTTTATGAAGCTGGCGAGGCTGCAAGGAAAATCGGATGGAACAGCATCGCATTTGTATGTCTTAATCACTTGATGGACATATTCGAAGCAATTGAGGATGGTTCGAATGAAGTGGATAATACTGATTTCCAAGATACAGATATTCCTGTTAATATCTTGATACCTTCAGAAACTTGCCTGAAAGAATCACAGCACGAAGAGACTAGGGAATGGGTGTTATCAGTCTCAATGGATCAAACAGTAGACCAATCTTTACCCTTGGATGAGAGACAAATGTTTGAAGCCTCTTTAATGTCCCATGACGGCAGGCAGTACCCGCCTTGTCTGGTGACAGGTTATCCCGTCATGAGGAATAAAGTCGAGTTTGGGAGTTCCGGTAAAGTTGCCAACAAAGACGATTGGAATAAACTTATTATGACTGCAAAAGTTAATCACGTGTCTGAATGTGAAGATGTGCTCAAGTTTATAACGTCTTGGTGTGGGGGAACTAGCAATACAGGATTTACATTTCAATGAACTGCATTATTTAAAGTGGTGATTGCCATCAGCTACATGTGAATAACTTTATCAAGAATTGATTTAAAATCTTAAATAGTAATAATCAGTGATTCCGCCTTATGAAATAGGCTAATATCATAGACTGGGCACATGCAGAAGTGTCCTCTGGCAATGGGTAATTTTCAATTGTGAAGAGGCAACCACTATAAATTAATATTTGTCTTGTAAGCAAAATTAAACCAACCTCCCCCCCTCAAAAAAACTATTACTGACTCAGTTACTAATATATAACATATTTCTAATCATAAGACATTTACTTTTCATGCATATCTTTAAATTAAAAATTTTAATTTTTATTACAGATCTGCTTTTAATAACAAAACAAAAAAAAAAGACCTGGAAATCTAGTCTAGTTTGTAATCTTTCGTCCTGAGAGTGGAATCACTGAGAGCGTCCTCTAGAGGAATCACTGATATATTTTTTCAGAAAAAAAACTTGCCAACTATTGTTTTATAAGGGAAGTTTTCAAAAAATATTATTCAAGACAGCTACATAATAGTTATATTGTACATAATAATTATATTGTAAAAATAATAATATTGTAATAATTATATTGTAAAAATAATAATATTGTATTCAGAAGCTTTTGTTACCCCTAACTTAAAATTTTATTAATATGTTGGTAAAATTAAATATTTAAAGCAAAAATATTTACACTACATATTGATCAAAGCATTGTAGTACAATTAAATATAAATTATTTACTAGAAATGTTTGCTTTTATTGATTATGAATTCTTTCGCTTATAAGTAAGATTCATGAAGTATTAATTATCTTTGAATTTCATTTCCTGCAATTGTTCTAAAAAATAAGGTACTATAAGGTTAAGGTATTGTTATTTTAAAACAGTTGCAGAGTCTCTATAAAATTGTGTATCATTAGTTATAATTGTAGTTTTAGTAATTTAGTTAACCTACCACCCAGTTACAAAATAATAGTGCAATTATAAACTGGACAAAGATAATTTGACTGACCATAAAATTTTTAAATTTTCTAAACTTAAGAAACCTCTTTTCCAGTAATTTTCTTAAAAAATTGCATTCCCACAGTTTCAGCACTTCTCTTTAAAATGTTAAAATTTTTGATTTTCCTTTTTTAAATTATAACTGTTTCGTACAGCCAGGACAGCTTGGTTGGTAGAGGGTTGGGTCCAGGCCGCAAGTTCAATCCTCGCCAGCGGGAGACTCCGCCTGTACCAACTAGTGACTGGTGCATGCTAAGTGTGTCAGGGTAAGGAAGTCCTTTAAGTTCCCATAACGAATCAATACATCAAGGGTACTGGATTGGAGATAAAGTGTGCTCTGGTTCAGGTCCTAATTATGATGTGGATGGGCTGTGATGTATGTGTTTATCAGAAGTCGAATTCTTGGTCATAAATGGTGCCACTTTGCCTAAAAATATACTTGTTAGTATTGACAAGTGGCATAAAACAACTGTTTTGCACAAATTTGTAAGACTTTTTTTTTCTATTACATAGGAATTGATAGAAATGACGTAAAATTTATTTCCATTAATCTAGGAAAAATAAATGGTTTTTGTTTGAAAGCAATTAACAGTGTTCGGGAAATTAACATAAAAGGTTAACCTCTTCCACAGGAATGTGGGATAAATTATGGAGTCCATTTCAATTAGTTTTCATACATCTTTCAAGGAATTATTTTCAATAATTGCACTTCCTTATACATAACTGCCAACCTTTCTGCACTCTTACTCATTTTAACTATTTTTTCCGCTTTACGAACAGAAGATAAGATTTTCCACATTTTTACCCACCCGCCTGACTGCTCGTATTTTTAGGTATTTCTCCATTTTTTTTTAACGACAATGTCAACCTTCGTCTATGAAAAGGTACCTCTACATAGAATCTAGTTAACATGTCTTAAATATTCATAAATCGGAAATGTATTTTTGCAGTCGTAGATACACTACAGTACTCCCCCACCGGAATTATAGCTGTGATAGAATTTGATGAATGGTTACCACAAGTTGACTCATTGCTGCTTTGTGAGAAGCCGGGGAAGCTGTAATAAGATCACCGTACTTTTGAGTGCTGATCGTGAGAGCTGTATTAAGTTCAAGGTTTTGGGCGCTCCTGTGTTGCCTTTAGCAGTCGAGTGAATGCATTGTATGTGATCGTGACTGAATAGCAAAGGAGGTGGATAATATTACAGTCACAAGTAGCAAGTCAATGTGGTCTATCAATAGAAGTAGGCTTGTTCAAATTGAAGTGGGAGTATCTGGCAAGGTAGGTATGTACACATCATGTCCGAAGGTCACCAATGTGGGGATAGTAGGTAACGACAATGTCAGCCTTCATCTATGAAAAGGTACCTATATTCCGCCGTATAACGCGCACTTTTAATACAAAAAATAACATTGGAATTTACGGGTGCGCGGTATACGCCGAATATAAAAAATTATAGATTAAAAAAATTTAAATATAGAAAAATACTTTTATTTTAAAGAAATAACATACCTTTACCTATATACTTTATTGATTTTCGTTATTACATAAATAGTTCATTATATTCGTCTTCCGTTATTTCTTCAGGCACGTCATCACAATCTGTTTCGTCTTCATCATCTGTGTTACCCTCATCCATAAATAAACAGCCATCTTCTGATCCGTCCAGATTATTTGAAATACTGCATTTTTTGAATGATTTTCTAACCATCTCTGGCTTAATTTCATCCCATGCTTTTAATATCCATTCGGACACTGTTTCCAAACTTGCATGACACATATGTCCTCCTTTCGTAAAGGTTTCCTCACCCTCCAACATCCAAGTGTTCCACTGTTTTTTTTTAAATTGGCTTTAAATGGTTTGTTTAAGCATATGTCCAATGACTGAACTAATAGTGTCATTCCGCCCGGAATAACTGCCATATCGGTGTTACATTTTTTCAACAATTTTTTTGTATTATCTGTAAGGTGGGACCTAAACATGTTCCACACTAAAAGGCTTTCTGGTTATCTATTGATACTAGACGAGATATTGCACATGTACAATCCAAATTTTCGTGCACGTTGTACGAAGAGTATATCTTAAAATTTAAAAAAAGTTATTAGAAATTATGGGTGCGCATTATACGCCGGGGCGCGTTATGTGCCGGAATTTACTGTACCTCAACATAGAATTGAGTTAACATGTGGAATTGAATTGGAATTGTATTTTTGTAGTACCACTACAAAAATACAATTCATGAGATTCACTACAAGCTTAAAATAACATATGAATTGTTGTGACTGTTATGTTAGTGACTCTAATAAGTTGAACCTGTGCAATTCTTATCAAATTTAATTATTTTTGCAATACATTTTAAATACAACTTGCAACTATAATTATTATAATTGTAAAGAAGAATTTTATTAGATTGAATATGTTCTAGTAGATAATAAATGAATTTATGTAACTATTTATAGAATTGCAAATTTAAATCATTATATAATGCCATTTTTAATAAGTAATGTTTTAAACAAACCAAAAATAAGTTCAAAATTCGCTTAATGGGTGTTACAAACATTCCCTTTTAAAAATGTGGAAAGTGTATATATATATATATATATTTTATGTAAATTTATAAATAAAATAAGTTTTATTCCTTAAATAATAAATAAAATCAGATTTATTTAAAAAATGCCAATAATAATGAAATTAAAAATACAGAATGAGGTTATCAACAAAAATTATTTTGACAGTTCAGTAATAATTTTCTTCATTTTTAGGTTTCGCTTTCATATTTTGTACTTGATCTTGTCTTCGATACATTTCAGCAATCTAAAATAAAAAATGGCAAATTCTGAGAAAGATAAGTTTTAAAAAGACTACCTCATGGCAAACTTTAAATAAGAGTTAACCTGATCAAAAAATCGAAATTAAAAATTTTTATCCCTAAGAAAGTAAGTACTCATCATAATAAATAAACAGATTTGAAAGCGTTCAATGGGAGCACCCACTTTCCTTTCAAGTTCACTCTAGACAATTGATTCGTACACTGCTTCCAGATCACAGTTATATATTTCTAGTGGTAGACTATAATTCCACAAATGAATGTCCTTTAGCAGGTTTATTAGGAAGAGTTTTCATGTTTTTTTTTAACATTTAGTTCAAATATGGCTTAGTTTCACTCAAAAAGTTCTCAACTAAAGGTGAGTTTGTTCAAACATTTGGTTCAAGAGTTCCCTTGTCTTCTGTGTCTGGATCACAATTACAAGGCTATGAAGTTGTACAATTCTAGCTGTACAACTCTGTACTCTCTATAAAATCAAATAGAAATCATAAACTGATTTTGTAGACATTATAAAACAGCAGAATTCTTAAAGAATCTCTTTAAAACTTTAACTGTTGTTTCTCTAATCAATACCAATTTTTTTTATTGTGAATTCAAAACTGTGTTTTCTAGAAAATAACTAATAAATTTTTGAAAAAATTAATTTAAAGTAATATGGTGATAATTTTATATTATCTTAAGAAACTATCAACTTTGTTCATTAACGGAAAATAGAATGTTTTGTCTAAGTTAAAGTGATTATAATATAATTTTGAGATATTTACGTTAATTAATAGTTTCAATTACTTTTTTATAATGGGGTGCTTTTTTTAGGTGAATAAAATTTTTTTTTCTTATTTCTGCTTGATGTACTTTCTAATCAAATAATTTGAAAATTTTCAGAAAGGTGATGCTCTATTAGCTAAAGCTATCTGCACTATTATTCTAATCTGTGAACAAAATCCACTTAGATAATCAGTATAATACTAGATAAAAGAATGAGAAAGGGTATCACATATCAATAATTACAAGACTGTTTATTTAATACAACTATTTAATACAAATTATTTAATACTACTTAACGCCAAAATGTGAATTTTTTTTTAGGAAAACTCAAGAAACCATAAATAAAAAATTAAAAATAATGCAGGGGTCTTCTATTGAATGTTCAATATTTATTGAACTCACTTGATTTACCGGGAGCAAAAGATTTAATGTTATTTATATTTATTTATAATTAGTATTAAATTTAATAATTGGGTTTAATTATTCTTAATCAAAACAATATATTGATTCCGAAAAGTCAAATGAAGTCTCAAAATACTAAGTACAAAAAAATTTATTTGTGAATATCTCAGCTCATAAAATAATTTTAAATTAATTGTATAATAGGATTAATCAAATAATTTGGATCAAGAAATCTCCATAACACAAGACTAGCTGCTTTATTACATCTTCCAGACAACTTCCTAGCCCAACTCAAAAATCCTGAAAATTTCCTGAGTAAAATCATTAACGACACATTTCAAAAAATTAATGTCTTCATAAATTTAAATTATTGATATTTTCAAAACATGAAATCTAAAAAAAATTATGTACAGCATAATTTAAATGAATAATTATGTTTAAGTTTACTTTTATCTCTAATCACATTTATTATTCTACCACAAAAAATACTTACAAATGAAAGGGATGTCAATTATAAATTCTAGTTCTAATATTTTTAAATAAAATATACAAGAATTTTTATACGTAAATGTTATCGATGATTTCTTGAAACTTCTGGACCTTTCTCTTTTAAAAAAATTTACATAACAGTTGTACTTTGATAAACTAAATTTAATTATTTTTAGGGTAGGTATTTCTGACTTAAATTATAATTTTTACGTTAAGAGTTTTCATCGGTTTTCACAATATAGTGTTTCAATATACTGTTTAAAAGTTTAATTGTACATTACATATGCTACATTAATGGAGAATTTTATTTAAAAAGTTTTAGTTAAAGGCTGTAAGTATTGAAAAGTAAAAACTTTTTGAATATAAAGGACAACTCCGAAAAATAAGAAAATGTTGACGGAAAAAAAAGCGTTAAATCAAGGCAGAATCGATTAAATCCTTATAATTATGTTAATAAACAACAAAAACTGTATAAAGTTATTTTTAAAAAAAACAGACCTGAGAGGAATTTGTTGCTTCTTCAACCTTTTTGTCATCCCTGATTTTGAGAAAACGGGGGAACCTTAAGGAAATGCCCTTCTCTGGGTCAACCTAATGAATAATTTAAAAAAAATAAATTATTATGCAATTTTTTAAAAATAAAACTTCAATATTAGGCAGATTATTTTTATAACAAAAAGGGGTTGGCACTAATATATAATTATTTTGGAGTAATTTCTCCTGAATATGCAATGAAAAATTCTCCAAATTTGGGCTGAGTTATCACACTATTAATTTAGTGTAATGATGTAAAAGAAAATTATTTACAATACTTAACGAGTAGATTAAGGTGGAAAAGAGAACAGGGTGAGTAGCCAAATCTTTCAGCAAAAAATAAGCACCTTTTAAGCACCATATACATTAACAAAATGCAAAATAATTTTCACAGACTTTACCTGTACATGATAAAATAACTAGTTTCTGACAAAGAACTCTTTTTCTTAATTATATTAGCCACCATAAAAATTCTGAGAGATTTTTAGGTTTGAAAAATGAGGGTGGAAAATGAAGCCTGAAAATGAGAATATCTAGTAAAATGCAGCTGAGTTACACATGAGAGTGCTAAAATCTCACCGAACTCAGCTCAGTAGGTGCACATGTGGACTTGCAAGTATTTCATCATACATGAAAAATGATTACGGCTTTCATACGCTACAGACCGAAGGAAGGCGGGAATGGATTGTGGTTGAATGAATTGTGAAAACGTGGAATAGAATAATCTCAAAAGCACGCTTTCGCATAATACATGCCAAAAATCGACATAGTAAAAAATAAACTTTAATTTTTGAAAAGGGAAAAATCAAGCATTTTACTTTTAAAAAACGAAAATAAGCACACTTTTTAAAAATGCTATGCAGCATGGAGAATAATATGATTGATTTAGCAGGGGTGATTGTGAGCCCAAGTCAAAATTCCAGAACATTTCTTCGAGTTAAAAAAAAAAAAACATTTTAAATCTGANAAATCGACATAGTAAAAAATAAACTTTAATTTTTGAAAAGGGAAAAATCAAGCATTTTACTTTTAAAAAACGAAAATAAGCACATTTAAGCACTTTTTAAAAATGCTATGCAGCATGGAGAATAATCTGATTGATTTAGCAGGAGTGATTGTGAGCCCAAGTCAAAATTCCAGAACATTTCTTCGAGTGAAAAAAAAAACATTTTAAATTGGAAAAAATTTAAACAAGGTTTATTTTCCTTTTTCTCAATATTTCTTAGTTTACTTAAAATAAATTTAAAATTTTACACATACCTATGATGACCTGGAAAAGTAAATAAAATTTACAAATATATCTTTCGTTCTTGAGTATATGATTATAACAACTATTTACTGATAAAAAATGAATATTAATCATGAATATGAGCTTATGAAGTATCTCTTTGGCTCTCCCTTACAAACAAATAAAATAAACTGTGTTTTCAAGTTCCATCTTTGAAAATTTAATTTCCTGAAACTTCTGTGATCAATGATTTTTTTTAAACGTCTAGACCAGTGATTCTCAACCACTGTGCCGCGGCACTTTTGTGGTCCGCCAAATATTAGAAATGATACAATAAAAGTTATAATGCTTTTTTTTATTATGAGTAAAGCTTAAATTAAAAAAAAGTGTATATATAGGGTTCGTGATTTTTTTTTTAAAAAATCAAAAAAATCGGATTATTTTGATTTTTATTCAAACACACTATAAGAGCTTTAATTTATGATTAAAAAAACTTTATAAATGTTTAATCAAAATTAAATTAATATTAAAACTATATTATAACAATATTTTAGAAGCTCTAACTTANTTATAATTTTTCCACGCTTTAACAGCGTGAACATCTTTGTCGGCGATTGTCTCGTCTCTAACAATCTTAAAATAAGATGGAAGTATTTAAATTTTAAATGACACGCAATTTTAAAAAATGTTGTAAGAGCTAATCATTAAAGTAAGCCTTTGCAATTAATAAACAAATTAACAAAGGATTACTAAAAAAATAAATATATAAAAAACAAATTAACGGAGGATAACTAACAAAAATTAAGCTAACAATTAATAATTAGCAAAAAAATTAGTTAACAAAAAATCACAAAAAATAACAGTTAATGTAAAAAAACTAACACTTAATAACAATAGAAAATAAGCTAACAATTAATAACTAGCAAAATAATAAATAACTGTTACTAACTATTTAAAAATTGGTCGAAAGAAATAATTAATCCCTTAATAAATGTTCTTTTGTAGTACATATTATTTTATTTCACATTCAAAATTATTGTCACAAACCATTTAACACAGTGTAAAATAGGTAATTAAACAACTTTTAATCTAATTTTTTTCATTGTGTGCCGTTAAATTTCGAAATCGTTAAAAGTGTGCCGCATCAAAAAAAAGGTTGAGAATCACTGGTCTAGACCATCGATCTCCGGAAACTTCCGAATCACTGTAAGTGAAAATTTCGGAAATCTGGATTTTTTCCGGAGCACAATCAGCCCTGATTTAGGAAATAGGTTCTATTTTTGTGGAGGTGAAACAACATAGCACTAATTTAAGATAAGGTGAGAGAAAAGAAACACATATAATATTTCTGTATGTATACTTACAATACCAATGGCTGCTTTATGGATAGGCGATATAGACAAATCAGCACATTTAACTTCCCATATCTGCTCGGGTTCAAACCATTCATCTGGCTCTAAACTGTGATCAAATCTATAATATGACTTGGGAGCACTGATAACATGGTTTTTTAAGAACTTTGTATGCGCTTCTAACTCATCTTCTTTAAAGCCAGTACCTAACTGATATAACATCCATTATAAGACTATGTATTGTTAATTTCTCTTTTGAAAAAGGCATTACAGAGATTTTAACTTACTTTACAAATACTTTGAAATTCCTCATTGTCGTTGTCATAGCAGGCAAGTAAAAATCCACCATAGGTACCTGTCCTTTTGCCTTTACCATGGTATCCACCAATAACAACAAGATCTAGGGTATCGCCGACACCATTTAAATAGTCTTTTTTTAACTAGAACAAAAACTGGTCATTAAAAATAATGTAACACTAGATTCAAGATTAACTTAAACAGGGTTGCTCATCATTTGTATAATATTTTCATAATATGCTTCTTTTACAATATTACCTTTTAGATAAATGAGAAGATTTAATAAATCTGAAAAAGTTTTGAGAAGATTTAATAAATCTTGTTTTTTTTTTTTCAAGAAAAACGAAGTTCTTAATCTACAAAATTCTTGTCAGGCCAGTCTTGGCATATGCTTCTGAGGCTTGGACAATGACAAAACTGGAGGAAAATTGTATCACATTGAGAGAAAAATTTTGCGGAGTACACTTGGTGGCGTCAATGAAAACAATAACTGGTGAAGGAGATTTAACTTTGAACTGTACCAGAGATTCATAAACAACCAGATATTATTAAATACATAAAAATAAATAGAATGAGTTGGATGGCCCATGTAATTCAAATGACTGATGACAATACAATAAAAAAAAAACTGCTTTGTAGTTTACACTACAACTGTAAATACTTTGTTACAACATTAATTAACTATAACTACAAATATTTTTTTTATAATGTAGTGACCACAAACTACTTTTGAATTGTAGTAACTACTTCACTACTTTAAGGAGACAAACTGTGTTAGAGAACTTAATTTACACCTATGTTCAAAATGGGTTTGAATAAGAAATCAGCTTGCATAAAATATAAGTTCAGGGATGAGATTAGCCAAAAAAGCTGAATTTCCACGATAGTAAATTTTACGCAAGCGCAACACTTTAATAATAAATTCCAGACAGTTTCAGGTAATAAATAATGTGTTGACATACAATTGTGTACTAATCTATTATTATATAAATGATTACATTGATACTTAACATTTAGTGAAAATAAAAATTACCAATTGAAAAAATAAAGCTGGAAATTATATTTTTCCTCAGTTCACATAAGAGACAATTATTACTTGTAAAACTACCTGGTTTAGCAAATTAAAACTACTGAGAATATGCATTAATATTTCATGTCTTTTAATAAATACTGTTATGTGATTTATAGCAAATATATCAGTAATATTACTTTTTAAATTATATTGGGAAAAAAAAACTTTAACAATGGACAAAATCATTATGTTCCTATTATAGTCTAATCTAATTAGAGCCCTCTGAAACATATCAATAACAGTGAAGTAGAAATATATAGTAAGTCCTTAACATACAAAAATTGCTATTTTAGTTTGAAAAATTACATGACAATCAGCAACTGTTTAGATAATTGTTTTTTATTTGATAAGAATTTTGCATTTTATAGCATAAATAACAGCAATTATAAATAAAATTTTGATGATGAGTTAATTAACTCTTTTTCCCCAAAAATTTTTTTTTAATTAAATACCTTTTTAAGTGATTGCTTTTGTTTGCTATATCTTTTATGTTTGCTATATTTAGTCGTTAGTCCATCTTCAAACATCTTGTGACAAATCCTATTTTTTCTTCTTTGCAAGCACAGAATGTAAGTTTTGAATATATTCCCTTCCAGTTTCTCTGATGTTGTAACACTTACATATACTAATAATCGTCGTTAGAAAAACAGTCACCTTTATAGTAACTAATTTTAAAAAAATTTACTTCTTACAAGAATCGCGATAGTTGATCTTAAAATTGCGTGAATATGAATAACAATTATGGATTTTGAAATCACATGAATATGAAACTAGATATACGATTTTGAAAATGAGAAAATACAAACTGGGATATAGAATTTTTAAAACGCGTAAATACAAATCACGATTCATAATTTTTAGATCGCGTAAATACGAATCATGATGCGTAATTTTTAGATTGCATAAATAAGAATTATGATGCATAATTTTTAGAATGCGTGAATGCGAATCCCAATGCCTTATTTTAAAATCACGTATAAATACGAAAATCAATGTTTGATATTATAAACCGCATGAGCAAATCAAGACATTGAATTTTAAACTTGCGTGAATACGAATCGCTACATAGGTTTTTAAAAAGGCGTAAATACGAATCACAATATCGGATTTTTAAATCTCGTAAATAAGAATCGCAACGTACAATATTCAAATCGCGTGAATAAGAATCGCAACACGCAAATATGAAAAGCTATGTTTGATATTAAAATCGTGTGAATAAGAATCGAGATATTAGCAGATTCCAGGCTTGGGACCTCTAAAAGGTTTGTCAGAAGCAGCGTCGTTTGAACTACAAAAATCGGATCTATCTGGAGGGCGGGTAAAAAAATTCAGAAAATCTTATCTGCTGCGTGTAAAAGGGGAGAAAATAGCTAAAATAAGTAAAAATGAGAAAGGATTGGTAGCTATGCAGCTTGAATTTTCTGTTTCTCTTTGAAAATCGGTAAATTTTCTGAAAAAGCGGAACACTTATATAAAAAAAAGTGACATTTTTAGAAAATCTGAATTTTTGATAAAAAAAAAAGCTGAAATTCAAGAGATAAAAGTGAAAAAAGCGGAAATCCGCCAAAAAGCAGAAAAATCTCATCCCTGTATAAGGGAATAATTAAGAAATATTTCATGTGTACACCAGCCAGTTTGTTATTTCAAAAATTTTTTTTTATTGTTTTTTATTACTTTGTTCTGAGAAATGCCATTTTCAATAGAGAATATTTAATTTAAGGAATGCAAATTTATCAAATATTTGCAATTTTTTAATGCTCTTTTATTTCCTCAAAGAAATAAAGTACATAAAAAATAGGTTCCCTTTCTTTCGATTAACATCAATGTTTTAGGAGTGTGCATTCACATATAAATAATGTACAATGTAAAAAATGTAATTAATTATTACATTTAGAAATAAAAATTTCAATATTTTAATTGCTTATTTATCTTTACCCCCAGAAAAATATTAAAACAAAAATTTAAATTTTACCTAAACAATTGATTAATAATATACTATAACACATAAAACAAGAATAATAATCCTAAACATTTATATGCTAATCAAATTAACAAATTTATTGCCCCCTAATAATTTCCAAAGCGAAATTTTTTTTCCATAAATGCAATAAATTTTAAAAATATTTTTAAATATTACAACTCTGTTCAACAATGAAAATAAGCTCCATAGATAAAAAGTAAATATTATCAATTGAAATATCAATGATAGCAAAAATTAATAGCTCATAATAAAAATCAATAATCACTTTTGCTATTTAAACACTACTTACTTTTATAATCATGAAATTTTCGAAATTATTATTTGAACAAAAGTGCAGATTCAAATCAATTAAGTAATTAATTGTCAACATAAATACAATATTTCAAAAAAAATTTATACAATTTACCAAATAAATATTATTTCTTATTAAAACTTATGCAAAATATTTAAACTGGAAATCAGATTTAATAAAATTTTTATCCTCCCAATGTAGTTTTCCATAATTATAATAATAATATCCATCAGAATTTCCATTCATTAAATTAAATGGAAACTAAATTCCTCCAACCCTTCCTTTGCTCACTAGATTTCACCACAAATCACTTTTGAAGAGCATAGCCAGATTTTTCAACAAAAAATAAGCACTTTTCAAGCACTCTAAAAATATTTTAATCACCTTACGAAAAAGAAAAATCATTATTAGGATCTGTGCAGTGATAAAAATTATTTTTTTCCATCGTTTAAAGTTCTTAATTTATAAACATAAAATCAATAAAATTCAAACACTTTACATAATCATGATAAAATAACCAGTTTCTGATAAATATTGGAGAGAAAATAGAAAAAATTATGCAATTTTTGTAATTTAGAACAACAATCAACACGGCGAAGAAAAAATCTCTTCTTATAAGACAGGAAATTAAGCACTTTTTACAAAACCCGAATTAAAAAAAAAAAAGCATTTTTAAGGGCTTTTAAAAAACATAAGTCAAAAATAAGCACTTTTTAAAAATGCTATGCACACTGAGAGCAGACTCCCAATAAATTTTGAACTTATTGCTGAATCACAATCCTGTTTAAGAATCTCTTTAGTAGTTAATATGAACAGCTGCTATTTTTCATATTTGGAAATGCAGAAACACCGTCACATTGAAGCAGATATCAAAAACAAAGTCTTAGGCGTTCATCTTTCAAATAGTTTTTTTCCCCTTTCTTTCAGTAATAGAGCAAACAAAACTTTTTTTTCTTTCCCTTCAGTGTTTCCTTTATAACAGCTCCATTCTTCAGTTGAGTGGTCGGTGCTCTTTTGTTACACTTTTTTATTTATTTATATATTTGTTAAGCAAGGAGCATTTTATTAATCCAGCACCTGTATTCTTCAGGTCTTGCCAGGTCAAATCTTGCAAAGTAAATCCGCAAAATGTTTTGTTTTAGAGAATAAGGGAAATCTTAATAATTATTATTGGTCTGTTAAATAGGTCGAGAGAAATTTAGTTTTCTCACAAGGAGAAACATTCAAATGTTAATTAATGCATACTTTAGCTAAAAATAGATTAAAAGACAGGAAGTGAATTTTAAAGTGTAAGAAATTGCCTTTGTTTTGAATAATAAATTAAGAAAAAGATTTACAGAAAAGAAATAACATAAAAAGTTTAATTAAAGCTTTTTATGTTACAAAATACACACACACATATATATATATATACCTAAAGGCTAATAACATTCAATTTGTAATATGTAAACTTGCACACTTAAATACTTTCACCTCATACGAAGAACGGGTATTTAGCTAGTTAGCTTACAAAACAAATTTTTTTCTTTCCGATGTAAGCCAAATATTTCAAATAAACAATAGGGCTTGAAATTTATGTTAGTTTGCAACCACAAAAAAAAAAAATTTTTTTTTTGTATGGGATTTTCATGCATTGGGTTGTGTTTTTGTCACGAAATAGCATGCTATGATAATTGTGACATAACACATTCTCATTTTGTAATTTTTAATTTAAATTCATTTGAGTAAAATTTTTTTTGCAAAGCAAACCAATTGGTCACATAATGGATTTCTCATAGGCTCAACTCACTAATAGGTTTAGGGTAGCTTTCAGTCAGTGATGGCAGGTTTTTACCACAGTAAAAAAAACAAACACAGAAAACACGATGGAAAAAAAACAAACCACCCTAAAAGTATATAACAATGAGTTCAAGTGAACGAGTATATAATAATAAAACCTCACTTTACAATAATATAAACTGTTAAAATAACACTCAAATTTTATTGATTAAAAATAATTGAACTCAGTTAGAAATAAGCATACTAATTTTAACAATTAAACGGTGCTAAGTATGAACTAAGTATGCATTATAAACGTACATTTGTAATTTTTTTTAAAATCACAATTATTAAATTTAATTTTCTTAAAATGTCATCTATCCGTATAAATACTATTTTCAGCTTAATCAGGTTTCAGGGCAAAACCAAATTCAGGTTATAGTTACAGGTTTTCCCCAGTGTCCATGAAAAAATAGGTATGTTCTTGACAAAATACCAATATCTCCTTAAATAATAATTTAAAAAAAGTTTCTTTTTTGTTGATCAACTTATGAAGGGTTAAGAATGGTATTCCATATATTGAGGCAATCCTCAAACAAATTTAATATATTTTAGTAGGTAGGTGGTCATATTACAAACATTTTGGTATATAAGGATAAAGTAAGTTTTGAGGTCAAATTAGACAGGATGATTGAGGTCAAATAAGACAGGAAGTCTACTTGACATATTTTGATTTCTAACAGATAATCATGATAAAGTGAAAATTAACATTTATTTGCCAATTAAAAACACATAAAAAAAAAGAAATTGCTAAGTTTTACCTTCAACCAATTATGAGATCTCTTGGCTATTTCATATGAAGCATCAACTTTCAAAGCCTTTACCATTAAACCTTCACAGTTACCTAAAAGTTGATAAAATATTTTAGATTACTATTCTGAGTAGAATGACCCAAACTATAAAATATTTATAACAGTCGTCGAACAGCCGACCCAATTTAGGGTTTACGACAACTTATGCTTAACTTCATAGAATTGTAGTTTTAAACCCAATCCAAAAGACAATGGAACTCCTGGATCCAGCATTGGAAGAAATTTGCCTTCGTGGAGGACTTTATTGATGGAACTAACCCGCATTAGCGGTACATGGGGAGGCAAATCACAAAAACCATCCATGGTTCACCTGACAGAGTGGTTCGAACGTGGTTCACCTCATCGGAAAGCGAACGCTCTATTCCCTAGATCATCGCAGCTATAACTATAAAATATTGGCCTGTATCCCGAAATCTTGCTAATTGAGGTAAATATTTGCTAATTCAGTCAGTAACAGAACTAAGAGAGTTGTGGTCCATTTTCAGCAGACCCCACTAATCTTATTAAGCACAGTCAGAACTTCATTTTAAGCAAAAAAAGAAAATAAATTTTTATTTTTTATTTTTTTTAGTACAGACAATGATGTATAGAATTTTTTTTTTTTTTGTTGATAAGTTCAAATGCAATAACATTACAAAATAGTATATATACATTCATCACTTATACAAATTAGCAACAAAGTAGCAAGCAGTTAAAAAATTGTTAATTGACAAATCTTAAAATTGAATAATATTTGACAATAAAAATACTTTTTTTTAATGTCTGTTAGAGATATACTGTTTTCTAAAATTGCGCCAGGTCGAGGTCTGGTGAAAATTGAATCGTTTACCCAGTCAGTTTTGGGTATAGTGCAGCATTTGGATTTATTACCTGGGTATGTATTATTTACGCATAACGATATAAAAATCATACATTTTCAATTAGACAAGGATTTCACAAGATATAGTTCTAAGAAATTTAGTGTGCAGCTATATCATTTATTATAGAGGCACATATATGATATCCATAAAAAGATATGTTTTAATTTTTAAATTTTGTTTTATTGATACTGTTTTGTTTTATTGTTTTAATTTTTAAATGTTAATTTTTAAGTTCGCAAAAAAGATTTGGATTGACTGTTTATAATATAAAACTTTTCGACAAAGTGGAGACATCTGCCTTAAGTAGACTTCATAATTAATAAAATTCATAATATCATTTATTTTAGTAGCTTCTGTTTTTAATATATAGCACTTTAACTAAGCACATTAAATGAAAAATGTTTTAACTACCTAGGATTAAATTTTAATCGTGTAATAATTTTAAAAATAATTTATGCGCAATGAGATCTTCCTTAGAACTATCTTTTAAGCTTTCTGATATTTGACTTTTCGGCGGTTACTTTAAGCTTTAATTACTGATGAAATTGATTTTAATGGGGCTTTCTAAATTCCAGATATTTCTCAGTTAATATTATTTCTACACGTAAAATTTGAATCACCCATTTAAATAATCACTTTATGACTCACTCAATTTACGCCGATAGTGGCATAAGTGCATATAGTGTTTTTCGCAGTTACTAGTATTGATTTTCACGTGGTTTTCAAATAATGCCCTGATATATTTTAGACAATATGAGAAATTAGAATCACACATTTGAGTATTTACTTTTTAAAGCAATGATTATATTGATTTTTTCAGCAGTAATTGCTATTGAATTTCCACAGTTTTTAAAATCTGACATGATATTATTTATTAGAACAACCGAATCTCGAAACGAAATACGGATTTGAGTAACTCCTCTTAGAAGAGATTTCAAAATATTGTTTGGTACGGATTTCACGATTTTTTTAAATGTGATGATGATTCACAAAATGCGAAAAAGGAAATAATTTGGGTGTCCCCCCAACAAAATGTGAGAATATCGCTTATAATATTAGAATTAAAAAAAAATTACATATTCAATTATAAAGATTATATACAGTTTATTTTCTTCCATAGGCACAGCGCTTATATTACTGTAAATTAGCAACATATATATTTGTTTTTATTAAAGGCGGTATCACACAGAAAGATATTAGTGCAGTGGTTCCTGAACTTTTTTGTCTCGTAGACCCCTTGCCATGTTTTTCGGTCATGGGTAGACCCCCTGCTTACCTGGTATTGATTTTTTGTAAATTCATAAACTTCAAATGTATTTTTGACTGCTGGTATAGTGCTACTCACTGTGAAAGATTTCATTCTGTTTGCACCGGTTTTCCATTATACTTCCACAAATTTAAATAATAACACATTATTGCACCTACCAATTTGCTCAAAACAAATTTAGTAGGTACAGGGTGGCCAGTCATATCTGTAAAAAATATTCCCTGTGTTTTCCCTGCATATATTATACACAATATATTATGAATAAACACCGATTCACTGTGTTCTTATGTGCTATATTAGGATAACAATACCAGTTTTAGTTGCTGGAAAAATTTAAGAGAAACAAGCAAGAACAAATAATACTATAATTTATGAAATAGTATAATATAGCTGAACTATCATCTTTATATATCTTATAGATCTTTGAGTGACCTGTATTTTCTAAAAAAATCCTGTTTTTTCCCAGATTGTAAGGAAAAATTAAGAAAGCTCTGCATTTTCCCTGCTATTTTAGATTATTTTTAAATTCACTGTGGAGTGGCAACCCTGTATGAGAGTCAACTTTAATAAATTTCGATAGAATTCTTTATTTCTAATTTTGTATTTATTTCATTATCAGATTTATTTAGTTAAAATAGTTTTCAACATTAGATTCTAAAGTTAACGCCTATGAAAATTTTGAAAAGGCTTTTCACAGGATTAATTAAAATTATATCTGAAATAAAGATCTTTTTTACCAACTTTTTTATAAGGTGACAAAATAAAAACATAACAGGCAGATAAAACCATACCTTTAATGGACTCATCTAAGAACTCCTGCATTGTTTCGGCACTATTACCATCTTTGTAGGTGACGAACATGAACTCGTTAGGCACTTCATCGAATGATGAATGGAGGAGCTCTCTTCTTTCTTTCAATGGTTTCTTCACTAAAGATTCTCCATTTAAATAGAGCAAATCAAAAGCCATAACACAAACTTGAACTACAATTTCTGACTTAGCAGCATCCTTGTGAAGAAGAATTAAGTTCTTAATTTTAAGACAATAATAAAGCGAAATACAGTAAAAGTTCGCAAATCTGACAAGTCACAGTCAAGATATTAATATTAATTTTAGAAGATAAAAACATTCATCTGTCCATTTCAAATTGAATAGTCGCTTAGCTCATTTTTCTAATGAACAACAATTAAAAATAATCAATAGCAATAAATCTCGACCAGTGTAAAAGACTATCTCCGTTAGAGTCAAAATTCCCAAGTCCACACCAAACTAACAAACAAAATGTTTAGTTGAACCAAGTCTGTATCAAACCGAGTACTCTTATCGCAATCTAACACTAGTTTCTACCTTCGATTCCCCACACGAGGAGTCTAGTCATTTCAATGACGCTGCAACTATTCAACAACAACATGCAAAACTTTCAATAAATCTCATTGGCTCAGACTTCAAACACTTAAAGGCAATCACTAGATAGGCTAGCACGTGTGCGGCAGTCGACATGCTTTGGCACATAAGGAAATAAGCTTATGGCATTGCGATCAATCATTATTCCAGGTTTGACGCACGATTTTTCTAGGTTTAAGCAAAAATCAGCGATTTTTCCTAATTTACTTTGGTTGTTTCAAATTCCCTGACAATTTCAGGTTTTTTTTTACCTGTGGGTACCCTGTTTTTTTGCTTTATTTAATAACGTAATTAACGTCTAACGTAAATTATTTCAGCTTTATTATTGCGTCGTTATATGCCTTTCAATTTCGTGCATGATTTTGCATTATTCAGTATTGATTCATTATTTTCATTTTTTTTATTCACTCCGTATAAAGAACAGGTATTTTGCTAGTGCATGTATATATATATACATATACAAACACTGCTCAAAAAAATTAGGGGAGCACATGGCTTTAACGAAATCTCATTGATTACCTCGTTAAATTTATGCAAAATGGGTGTGTGGCAGTCTTGGCGGTTTGGGGGGGATAACATACCATATTAAACATCCAAACAATCAGATTTTTGTCTTTTAAATGTTTTCAAATTGTTGCCTTGAAACATTTCATGCTCTTTATTCCATTCCAAACAATTAAAATTCTTACACAATTGCTTTTTACTTCTTTTTTCTGTATCGCATTTCATTGCACCTGTATTTTTCACTTCATGCCCATGCATGACTACCGCACAAAAGTTTCATCACTGCTTGCTCCCCTAATTTTTTTTTTTAGTTACGTATAAAATTTACACACAAAAAATAAAACACATTTAGTCATAAAGATATAATAACAGAACTGACTTACTTTCTTTTTTCTAGTACTAAGTATTTGAAAGGGTAAAATTTGTTTCATTTCATGATCCCAAGCAACAGCTTCTGTGTCAAGGATAAATGATTTTGTAGTATCTTTCAATGCCTTAGAAATTCTGGCAATAATATCGGGATATTTTGAAGTGTTATCTTCTTGATTACGGCTAAATATTTTAACTTCACCTTTGTCTGTTCTATGGATCTGAAAATGTATGTTATATGAACATAAAAAAGTTAAAAAATAATTTTTTATAAGTAAATATATTATTAAACCTAATATTAAACCTAAATAATTTAACCTTGCTAATTTAAATTATTCCCAAAACTTTATTTTTACAAAAAGAGAACATTTCTTTTTCTGTGTAGATTATAAACCGGTTTAGCGAAGTATAGTTCTTCAAACATTTATATCTTTGAGCATTTTCTTTTAATACTTTTCAAAATCTTTTATAATATTGTTAACTTTTATTAAATATATACACAGAATCATGACACTATCACACTATTTTCAGTAAACTTTTCATTGTTTTTATTTTGTTGCTATGAAAAATATTAAGAAAATATTTTTGTTTTAAATACTAGTAAATAAAATATCTTTTCTAAACAAAATATTACTTTTTGTCCACAGAAATTGTAATTTTGTTCACAGAAATTGTAACCAATGGTACAAAAAGATTTATTTCTCAAGTTTGGCATTCAAGAAAACATTTATTCAAATACAAAAATAACCATGCATGTTGCTCTTTTTTATTTCGTTTTCTATTTTTTGTGTTCTGTGAATATAGTTTAGCATGTGTGTTCAGAAATTTTCAAGCAGAAGTTCTGCGATTTAACTTTTTGAAACCACTCATTTTGGACGAAATTATTTACATTTGTAAATTTTGTAGCCAGAATTTTTTAATATGCAATTAAAAATCTACTTCTTATTTTAATTTGCAATTCAATACTTTTGTTTTGTACAACTTGATAAAAATCTGACAGTAATATTTAATGTTCCTTCAAACATAAAAGAGTCCTGTATAAAATTTTGATAAAGTTGTGACCTGCCATTTGAATGGTGTTTTTAACTGCGGTACCCAGCCTCATGTAAGTTGGACTTCATGTATAGGCCTGATAAAGGTTAATATTGGCCTTATATAGAACCAATATTAAAAAAATCTGGACATTCCAATATTGGTCCCTTGGTGAAATGATCATACAGGACTCATATTCAGCCCAACTAGTGCCAAGATAAAATTGTTGCTGGGGTTCTTATAATTAAAAACAAATTACTAATTAGTAACAGTAAAAATACAACATTAGAAAAACAATCAGTAGATTATCAGATATCAAAAATAAATTAAGTTGATTTTCCGTCGATCGTTAATACAAATTTTGTTGCATCATATTGTTTTAATGGTCCCTTTACAAATACTAATCTTATCATGTATTCTTTGCATAATATAATAATGATTAAGGAAAGGAGGATTTGTTATAGTTTGAGAAAAATGTCTCAACAATACGTTTTATGTTCTCGCAACAACTGCTGAAAATAGAAAGCTAAAGAAGGCCAAGACATACGAAAAATGTCACAAGTCAGGCCACTCGCAGCTCTGACGCATTGAGACTGAAAGTTATTTCAACATTATTTGTGAAAGGCCTTTGCTTTGATACAATAAAATACTCTACATTAACTTGAACCTAAAGAAAATGAACAGCAATCTGCTACAAATGTCAGAAATTTATTGTTTGTACTAAGAAAACCAAAATTTCCAAATATTTCAAATTATTAAATGTGTTAATTTATCCTTCCATTGCATCATAGAATAAGTACATAATTTATTCAACCAAAATTTATTAATTTTCAAGTCTAAACCTTTTAAAAAAATTGTCAAGTCTTTATTTGATATTTTGTGTCGACCCTCGTTTTACTGTATCTATTGTTAGCAATGAATAGTCACATGTGAAACAATCGATTAGGATTCTACTGCATGAAAAAAGCATCAAAATATATATACAGGTATTATAGACAGGGTATCTGCTACATTTTAGATTTTCCAATTTATGACTTTCCATGACTAATTCCAAGAATTTTTAATTCAAAGACTTAACAAAGTTACTATTTTCTCCAGGAACCCCCCGGTTTTAACATCCTTCGCATTGATTTTAAATATCAAATACAAACAAATCATAACTTAATATTAAAAAAAAAAATGATTTGTCAAACTAAACTAAACACAGGAATAAAGCAGAATTGTTTTAAATACTTTAAATCATTGAAGTAAGCTAATTCACCAAGAATAACTGCAAACATGAAACTGAAGATATAGATTTTTTTTCCCAATGCCAACTTAGTTTTAAGTAGAAAAAAAAAGAAAAAGATATAACTAACATACTTGAGCTCGTTCACCATCATATTTAAATTCACACGTGAAATCATTATTAACGAAACGTTGCAGCACTTCATCAATCCCCGTTGTAGGGTGAGCTAACATGGGCTTCAGTGGGCAGCCCGGTGAAAGTTGGCAATGTTCAGAAAGACGATCTATACCTTCTTTCAAAAGAACAGGTATCATCAAATCATAATTAGGGCATTCACTGCATAAACAAAATGTAATTGAAATTATAAAAGGTATTTAATATAATTATTATAAAAAACATTATCATATAATATAATTGGCTGGTAATAAAAATAAACAATGAAAAATAATAAATAGTTGACATTTACACATAACTATATTTTTAGCAAGGTTATCTAACCAATGAAACTTCAAAATATAATTAAAGGAACTTTCACCTAATATCAGGCAAAAGGATTTCATTCACACAATCGTCATATACGCACATTTTTTAACTTAAATATTAAGAAGACACAATTCTCACCAGTAGGTAGTTTTCAGAATAAGTGTTTTTTCATCCTGAAGTTTCTTGAATTTCTCACTAGACATTCCAGATGAGGTGTCAATTTTATCAGGAGGATATGTTTGGCCAGGAGGTGTCAAAACAACAGCTCTGCCCAAAGCTGCAAGAACAGATTGTTCTGCTAATCCAATTCTCAGTTTCCCGCTTAGTGATCTGATGATGTATTTGGCCTCACAATCTCGGCAAGCGACAAACAACGTCTGAATTTTATCGGTCTTCTTGGCCATTGCCTAAATCAATGATTTACATTTTAATATACAAATTATGCTATAATTTTTTTACATTTTAAGGCATTATATCAATGTTATTTTCATAGGTCATTTTTAAAATAAAAAAAAAATCAGAAAAAATTTTCTTAAAAAAATTAAATATTCAAATTACTACCTTTAAAATTGTCAGCTGCAACTACAGAGTTGCCACTCAAATCTGGAAAAAAATTCCCTGTGTTTTCTCTGTACGTATTATACATAATGTATCAAGAGGAAACAAGAGTTACTGTGATCTTGTGTGAGCTATATTGGACTAACTATACTAGTTTTAAATGCTGGAAAACTTAAAGGAACAGCTGAATATACTTAAATAATGTTATAGTAAATGACATAGTTTAGCATAGCTGAAATATCTTCCTTAAATATCCCATAGATTTCCCTTCGAGTGGTTACCATTTTTTTAAAAACAAAATTCTCTGTATTTTCCCAGTTTGTAAAGAAAAACTCAATATTAGTTTTACAAACATTGAATGCAATATTTAATGAAATAATAAATAAAAAGTCAATAAATAAAGTTACCATGAGCATGGTAGAAAGAGAAACAAAAGTGAACAAAAACTACAAGAGTCATTTTAATTGAGCAGGTTTAACCGAAAAGAAATGTTTATATAAAACTGAAAAACATAATTTCATCTTACCAATAGAACAGAAAAAAAAATAGAAAAAAAAAGAAAGAAGGAACATTAAAATAATAAATCTAAAATAATTATGTAAATAAAACATCCTTATCTTGTCAAAGCTTTATTTTCTTAGAACACAAGATAATTTTTTAAAATGGCTATCTTATCTATAAAAATAGGCCATGCAGGGAGGACCAACTTTGCCAAATCAACAAAAATAATTTATTAAAATAATTATGGTAACTGAGACAACATTGAAATGTTTGATTTATACTTTAAAGCTGTATATTAGATAAGCTGTGAGATGCAATTTTCACCAATGGATAAATTTTAGTTTGCAGTTAAATAAGAGGCAAAGATGACATAGAAAGTAAGCTGTATTAAAATCTATTACACAGGAATAATTTTTAAATAATAATTTCAATATATCTACATTTACTAAGAATATGTAGTAAATTAATTTGAATTCTTAATGTCATTTGAAATTTTATTTCAGTAATTGAAATTACTTAAATTTATGAGACATCAAAAGTGCAAATGTTTTGAAAATGACCCATTTCTTTAACGGTACATTAAATCAACATCAATCATATTTAGAAATTTGAATACATTGATTATACAGTCAAACCCTGCTATAGTGAACGAAAAGTTCGCTCCCGCTCCTTGAAATACATGTATAATCAGGGGTCTGTGCAGACATTTTATGAAAGATTGTGTTTTTACAAAATTTTGAAAAAACTACCCATAATTTGTGAATCTAAAATTAATGTTAAGTCACATTCTTTCAACCAGGGTCCTGATTTGGTGAATTTACACAAATAGGATCCTGTCATTGCAAAAACCACTTTTAAGGAGTTCTTAAATTATAAATACGAGGTGTGTTCTTCAAGTAAGTACCGTTTTGAAATTAAAAAAAGACATTTCAATAATTTTATTTTACATGAAAGCCTGTACCGTAATCTACTTTTCTACATAATTTCCTTCAACTTTGAGGCATTTGTCATAATGTTGTATCAGTTTTTGAATACCCTCCTCATAGAAGTCTGCCGTCTGACTTTGTAACCACTGCATCACAGCTGCTTTGACTTCGCCATCGTCTTGAAGACGCTGACCGCCCAGGTGTTTCTTCAAGTGCAGGAACAGATGATAGTTACTGGGTGCCAGATCAGGGCTGTACGGAGGATGATCTAGAGTTTCCCATTGAAAAGATGTGATGAGATCTTTGGTCCGATTAGCCACATGCGGACGGGCATTGTCATGCAGCAAAACGATGCCCTTCTTTAACTTGCCACGTCTTTTGTGCTGGATTGAACAGAGCAGATTTTTCAAAAAAACTGCGCACATGACTTTTTGTGCAGAAATTGTTAAAACTTTACTTTTCTGGGTGAATCTGAATGCCGCCATACCATGGACTGTTGCTTTGATTCTGGTGTGACGTAGGCCACCCATGTTTCATCGCCTGTAACAATTTGGCTTAAGAAATCATCCCCGTCATTGTGGTACCGCTCAAGAAAAGTCAATGCAATGCCTAAACGTTTAGTTTTGTGCACAACCGCCAACATTTTCGGTACCCAACGTGAGCACAATTTTCGGTATTTCAAGTGCTCGGTCACAATGCTATACAAAACACTACGAGAAACATTAGGAAAGTCAAAACACAAGGAGGAAATCGTAAAGCGTCTGTTTTCTCTCACCTTATTGTCCACTTCCTGCACCATACTTTCATTAACGACTGAAGGATGCCCACTCCGTTTATCATCATGCACATTTGTGCGACCTTCTTTAAATGCTCTCACCCATTTTATTACCATTCCATCATTCATAATGTTTTGTCCATAAACTGCACTGATCTCACGATGAATATTGATCGGTTTTAGGCCTTTAGCACTAAGAAATCTTATAACAGCCAGTACTTCACAGTCGACGGGACTCACAATTATCGGAGGCATCTTAAACACTCAGTAAACAAGGAAGAATCAGACTGCAATGGCGTCAGTGCGTAGGCAAGAGATGTAGGTACCCAGTGTGGATGCACAGAATGCGATCGCAGTGCGGTGGGAAAACGGTTCTTACTTAAAAAACACGCCTCGTAGATGCAAGATTATACTCAACACTGTAAAATTATAATTAAAACAAGTACATTTTCAAAAAAAATTTCTATATGCTGCCACTAAATTAGTGATGGAACATACAAATATTCCGTATTTAGCCTATACTACTCAAATGACGAATATTTGTTTTGGACGAATATTGATAACAAAATCACTTACATTTTTAATAACTCCAATTGATACATTTTAAAAAACACAGCCAATAGATCACATATTAAGTAAAGTGTTACATATTAAGTAAATTTATAATATTTTATTTAAAAAAAATTGGTATAAAATAGTTTTTATTAAATAATATTTAATTAATAAATTTTATGAATAAATATAAAGTATTTATTAACTAAAATAAAACAAAAAAGTTTACTTATTTAATATTAATAAAAATGCACAGAGCAAGAAAAAAAAATGGACCACCCAAATAATTCTAAATTGGATCTTTAGGACTCAACCTTAATGGCTTGAGGGGGTGAACTCAAAAATGCAATTAATAAGTGTAGACTATATTTTGAATTAAGAAGTCAAACACAAAAAAGGCACTTTCTCTGAATAAACACACCTTTCCTTCGATGGTTTCGGATTTATGACACCCCCCCCCAAAAAAAGTCCCATAGTTAAAATTCAATTTCTAAGGAACCATGGCCGATTGTGATCAAATTCTGCATATTACCATGCAAAAAAACAATTTTTTTATTAAAATTATGCATACATTTTTACACCTTACAATTCAAAATTTTTCTGACCATTATTAAGTAAAATAATAAATATTTACTAAAAGTTATTTTTTTTGCATAGAATTATCTTTGGATAAATGAATTTTAGAATTGTGCGTAAAAAACTTTCAATTCACTTAAAAAGTTCTAGAGATATAGCGAAAAACATAAGAAGTAAAATCAACATTAAGGAATCCAAGCTTTAGAATACTCTCCTAACCACACTACTAAGACCATATTTCCCAGATTGCGGATTGGAATTATAAATAAAATAAGACAATAGCGAGATAGGTAAATTTGCAAAATCAAGGAAATAAATAAAATGTGACAGGGCGAGCATAAAATGTTCTGTTCTGCTACATGCTAAGTCAGAGTGCCGATCACTGACGTTATCAGCTTCCTCTAGAAGAGAAAGGAAGGCGGAGGAGGAAGAATGGTGGATGAGGAGAGAGGTAAAGAAGGGCGCAGGTAAAGACTTCACAATAACTTAGCGGTTCTCTTAGCTTTCCATTTTTTTATATTACTATTTTCGACTTACAAAACATTAATCATGAAGATAAGCAAATTTGAGAACAGTGTGAATAAAAAATAAAATCTTTTGAGAAAGGTCATTTTTTAAGATAAAATATTTTGTGAAGGGTCCGTTTTCATGAAAAAGTATTTCGTGAAGAGTCTGTTAACGGAACCAAATTTCTTTTATACAGATCCCTGATTATATTATTTTTTGTGGATATAGTGAACAAAAAAAAAAGAAAAAAAAAAAAAAAAAAAAAAGAAAAAGAAATTCTNTTTTTTTTGTCTTTGACTGATTTTTTCTTTTTTTTTGTAATCATATTGAAATTTCCACAATATAAATACATATACCAATTTTTAAAACCATCTATATAATTGTTAGAAAAAGCAATGAAGTCAAATGTGCAAAAACGATAAGATGATAAGCGCATTGTCGATGCAAAAGTTCTTAAGCGGTTATTTAACCGGTTATGGTATGTTTGGTGTTAAATTCAAGAAATTCTATGAAAACATTCCAATAAACAGAAATACCTTTCTGTGAATATAACATTATTATTGCAACACAAAACATGATGAAATAGTGCAAACAAAACATATAAATACATAAAATAACATTTGATAATATAATGCCTAAAAATAACAAGGGAAAAGGTCAAGGGAAAAGGAAAGAGATATATTTTTTAATAAGAATTTCTTCTACTACTTATTTTTTCTCATAAAACAACCAATGAGTACAAAATTAGATTTTTTTTTCAAACAGTTACACATTGATTACTTCGAAAATCAGATAGTTCTCATAGTTAGTGTCTGATGAGGACTAGTAATTAATATGTTTGTGAAGAAAACAAAAGTAGGAAGGAAAGAATAATGAGTTTTTACTTCAATATTAAAGATAAAATAAGAACGCTTGGTAGTCCAAAAGAGAAGCTGAAAGTTACTCTCAAAGATTCTGCACCTTTTTTTCTTTTTTTTTGTCGGCTTTTAAAAAGGTTTTTAAATTTTAGGTACAATTTTAAAGGAAAAGCTTACTCTTTGGTTATAAAAATGGATTTATATTCAGAAGTATACAGTAATCCTCTTAGATAATATTTTTTTTTAATGCCAGCAGCTTCAAATTTGATAACTCAATATAAACTTTTATTAAATGAAAAAAGTGATATAAAATCATATTTCGATTAAACAATGGTGACCTTATTGATCAGAAAAAGAACACTTTTATTAAAATATCAATGTTATCAAAAGCAAGCAATATTCTAAATGAGTTTATTTTCTAAATGTTACACAAGATTTTAAGTAAAGTGAACTCTTATTTTTCGATGGTGCAATGGAATAAGATTATTAATAAACTGACAACTGTATAATATACATGAACGCTGTTCGCGGAAAATATGTTACAATTGCTAAAATTCTATAAGCTGCTGTTAAAAAGAAGGTGATTTAAAAGCCACTATTATGATTTGCGTTTAAGTGGCTTAAAAATTATAGTTCTGAATTTGTCTTCACGTGATTTTAAAATCTAACATTGAGATTCATATTTACACAATTTTAAAATAAAATATTGAAATTCGTATCTTCATGTTGTTAAAATTAAACACAGGATTTGTATTTACAGCGACTTTAAGAATTAAATGAGGAGATTCATACTCTACAATTTAAATAAATAAAATCTTGCATTGATATTTTGATTAAAACATTTCTTTGAATAAATATTTCCTACATTTCTCTTGCTTAAATTTCAGGTATTTTTCAATCATTTAAAAAGTGTTTCTGCACGTAACATTTTTGGATTTCTAATATCAACTTCTTTCTTATTTTTAACCAAATTTATACTAATGGTATGAATCAATAAAGGGTCTTTTAAAAAATGCCTTGCGGCAGAATTATTTCTAGCAACCTGCGACAAAACTCTCTAACACTTATATCTCTATGCAAAATACTTTTAATAATAACACACATATATGTCACTAATTTAAAATAACAAAAGTGCTGTGTTTACAGGAAAAAAAAATATATAATTTTATTTTTTAATTGGAAATGAAATAATTTTTTATTCTAATATATGGGTGATATTCTTGCATTTTGTTGTTGTTGGGGGGATGCACAAATTATTTCTTTTTTCACATTTTGTAAATAATCATTTCAATAAAAAAAAATACAGGGTGTCTATAAAAGAACTCCGGGGTTTTAAAAATTCATATCTCACTAACTATAAAAGACAGCAAAATTTAGTCGATTTCTCTGAAAAGAGTAGCTCAAAAAGTTTTACTCATACCAATTGGGAATGCTTGTATCAACTGTTGGCGACGCTGCAGGGCGTTGACCTTGAAATGACGTCGCGAAATTTGAAATGATGGCTACTCCGCAACAAAAGGCTCAATGTGCTATTTGGCTCATAGAAACGAAGTCTTTAGTTACCGTACAAAGTGCAGAGAAAATTCGTGATGTTCAACATCTCAGGGAACGAATAGTCAATTGTGTGGCAACCGTCCCCCCAGACATGCTCGCCAGGACATGGGAAGAGGTAGAATACCGTTTAGACGTCTGTCGTGCCACTAACGGGGCGGGGCTCATATAGAACTTTACTAAGTGTAAAAAAAAACTTGAAAATGTAAGCTTTTCAGTCATGTATAAAACATGTATGTATGTTTTTTATTTCATTAAAATATTTTGCCTCAAAACCCCGGAGTTCTTTTCTAGACACCCTGTATATTTCATATAAAAATCATGAAACCCACACTAATTTTTGCCGAAAAAAAGATCGCTGACGAAATCACATGAATCTGACTACTCAAATGCACGTTTCGTTTCGAGTTCAGGTTGTTGTACTCGAAAATAATGTATAAAAAATATCAGATTTAAAAGTTATGGAGAAATCAACAGTCTTCAAAAGTAAATACTGAAATGCAAGATTCGAATTTTCCGTTTTGTTTGAAATGTATTGGGATATTTAAAAACTACGTGAAAATCTATGTCCATAACTGCTGAAAATACAATTGATTTACAATACTATCGGCGTAAATTCAATGCGTCAAAAAGTTATTATCTAAATGCATTCAAAAGAAAAGTAAAATTTTTTACTTTTTTAAAAGAAAAATCTTTCTGCAAGAACTAAGTAATGTTTTGTGACAATGTCACCGTGTCGCTGTAATTCTGAAAAGGGGGAAAAACATTTTTTTTTTAAAAATCCGTCATTTTCAAACGAATTTCGCCAAAATTAGATGACAACGAAAGGATTGAAACTAGTTACAAGAGTGAATCAATGTGTGCCAAAATTCGTAGATTGTATAATGGCAAAAAGTTTTTCATTTACCTGTTGATAACATTTTTAAGTAATATTGAATACTTGAAAAAAGATATCTTACAGCATTTCCAGACATTTTAGCAATTTCTTTGAATTTAGAGAATACTGAAGCCACTGTCAATTTTGGAGGAGCAAACATCACTTTCTGGTTACCTCGGCTACTCTGAGGGTAGAAAACATTTATTAGAAAAATAATCTTCACAAGTCTTAAATTAATAACAAATCATATAATCAATACATTATCAATTATAATATTTTTGAGAATAAATAAAAATGACTGAGAATATTGATGATGCATTAGTTCATTGAGGGTAGTCTCACTCTTAGTAAAATACATAAAATTGTAGCACGTTTGAAACTCTCTCAATTACAGTAGAAGATAACACAAACCTTCCAAGTTTTTTGAATTTATTTGTTACATAGATCATTTCACAAATCCTTAAACATTGCAACAATATTAAACTGCAGCATATTAATTATAAAATGCTATAGAATAATTTTTAGATATAAATATCTAAAAACACAAAAATATAAACTTATATGTTTATTCTAAAAAAAAAATTTTTTTTTTAAAAATTAAAGCACATAGCTGCCAACACACATAGCAAGAAATCCAATAGATTTTAAGAAATAATATAAATGTCATGATAATTGTTGCAAAATAAACTAAACATTTCGCACATTGAGAATTTTAGGGATTTTTATAGTCATCAAAATAAAAAAACTGCAATAATTTCTAGTTATAATTTCACATTTAATTATCTTGAAATGTTATGCATTATGTTTATATATAATTTTGAATAGTAATAGGAATTTAATTCAAAGATAGTTAACTGAATTTTACAAAAAGAAGCTCGTCTACTAGAAAATCCAATAGAGTAGGCAGCTATGGAAGTAATAGAGTTAATAACGAACAAATTTATAAATTTTGCTTATACGAACTTTTAAAATTTGTAGCATCTTAATAAACAATTGAATAAATGATGTAAAAAATTAAAGTTACAGAAAACTTTAGTCAACATTTTTCATTGTTTATACTTATCAAAGGAAAGTGTTTTCCGGCAAATGGCGGTTTATAGCAGATCTTCTGTACAAATTTTTTTTTTATAAAGACTAAATTACTTTTTTTTTCTACAGCTTAATTAACTCACATCCTAAAATTTGCACTCTTAAAATAATGTAGCAAGGTTGTCATGTAAAAGAGATTAAAGACAAGAAAAAAATAATAAAATTAAACCTCAGCAACTAGCCCAAGATCTCCTTTTTCCTTCACTTCTGCCCTTATTTTATCGAGAGTTCGTCCGGTAGCCTGAGCAACGGCTTTCATCAACACCATGTCACCAACTCCCAACTCAATACCTTCATACTCTGGAGCGATGCGATTTAGGCACAGGTACACAGACTGCAAGAGGTCATCTGGTGTCAGAACAATGACGGAACGAAAGTAGTTTGCAAGAATTTCAACTATCTTCAGCCTGTAAATAGCATATTAACTCAAAATTTTTACATAGCATTTGTGTTTTAAATCAATTTAAAGTAATACATAATAAATACATTGAAGCAATTTTCAATTACAGTGAACTCTCACTTATGCACCGGTGTAAGGGGCCAAGAGAAAAAAGCGCATAAGTGAAAGAGGCGCATAAGTGAAAAACTTCAAAATTCTAAAACGCAACGTAAATTGCAGTGACAATATGAATAAATATGTTTCTAAAGATTTAATGTTAATATTTATACTGTTTTGGTATTTACTATAATTATACAAAGAAAAAATTTAACATACCTTAAGACAATTTATTTTCTTACAAAATAATCTCAATACACGTTTGTATTTGTTTTTGCAGACGTTATTCAAAAACTGTTTTTTCCAGTTCATATAAATGGGATAAGGGGGAGTTTCAGAAGCAAAATTAAATTGTAAATAGTCAGGAATAATGTCTAAAGCTTTCAATACTGCTGTGTGATTTGGAGGAACTTTATCATCTCGTCAGTATCATCCACCACGTTTTCATCGCTCGCAAGTTTTAGTTAGATATAAAAGAACAGTTCTTCACGAAATATTTGAGTTTTATGGGAGGGGGTGAAACATCACATGATAAATTTCTAAGAAAAGTACTTGACGTCATAATATGCTGCACAATAAGTAGTTCAAGTATTTCTGTCACTAAACTGATCACCTCCTTTTATTTACTCATAATGTCCATCTGACTGCAAGCAAGTGATCACGGTCTCTTTCATCTTTCGTATTCCAGGTGTCTTTTTTTTTCTAGAAATCAGCATGGGAGTAAAACTAACCTCTGGACAAGAGGAATGGTCATTTCCTAAAAGATGAATGGGCTTTCATTGTTGTTGGTGTAACAGATAAGACACCCTATTCAAAATTCTAGAAAGAATGTCTTTCCAGAAACAGCAAAAATGAAAAGGTCACAGGGGGATGCAAATTCAATAGGATTTAACAACATATATTTCCTATTATCTGTTAACAAGGATTGCTTATTTGCTTCATTTTGAATTTAAAAAAAAATTTTAAAAAGGAAAAAATATTTAAAGGATTAAAAAATTAAAATATTAGCCTAAAATTTCGGTGCATAATTGAAAATTTTATTTTTAGAGCAACGCATAAACGAAGTTTGTTTATCATTATTTTCCTATCTAATGTATTGGGATCTATAAAAATCGTTGTATAAATGAAAAAGGTGCATAAAAGAGATGGTGCATAAGGGAGAGGTCACTGTAATCTAAAATTTACAAAGCCCTTGTCTTTTCAACAATGTCCAAACTCAATTATATTTCCAGGATTTACAGAAAAGATTTCAACAAAACTCCAGATCACATTTTTGCTGTCATATACATAGGTTATACATATACATAGGTTATTTTCTCAATATGTTTGCTTTTAAATCCTTAAGCAAAACTTCTCATTAAAATATTCATTTTCATTATTTAATGATAAGTTTTGCTCAAAATACAAGGAGTAGAAAAAGTAATATACATCTGAAATATTTTGCACTCATAAAAATAAAATGTGGTAAAATGTCATTACTGTCCTGTGTCCCTAACACACATTTCTGAATATTTATTTTTTGTAATTTACTACATTATGAAGATGTTACAAAGAAAAATGCACACAGATTCTGATATAGTAGGACAGTCTACTTGAATATTTATAATCAATATTCTTAGAAATTTTTTTATATTTGTTCTACACATCACTTTGTTTTGTGTATCCCCTACTTTAGTACTTTACTACTGTTACATGTACGAAAAGTGCTAATAACACTATAGATAGGTCTAGTTGAATAAAATATAAGTTCCAGGTAACAAAGAACATTCTTCTCTTCAGAACAAAGTTTAATTGCAGTACTATTTTTTTCCTGGGGGGGGGGGGAATAAATAACCTTAATTTTACCTTTAAAAATCTGTTACTTTATTGAATGGAATTACTGTCCCCCTTTATTTTCATCTAAGAATTTGCAAGCAAGTGAAAAAATTTTGATTTGTACAGAATGTAATAAGTTACCTTTTATAAATTATGGATAATTCAATTACAGAAATAAAATATTTTTCTTGTCTTTTTGCCGAAATTTTATTATTTATTTTCGTTTGTTTGTAATTACTGCCTCTTATCCTTAAATGCATTTAAAAAAAGGGTTGTAATTACCCAAGGGCATATTATTAGTTTACTATCAAAAAACTTTTAATTTGTTTGGTTCATTTGGTTATGTTATTACATATTTAGTTACTTGGTCAATAATGTTGTTAGTAAACATAAAAAATAAAACTTAATTTTAAAGCCTATGACTGCTTTCAATATTGAGATAATATCAAATTAAAATATAATCCAATGTTATCAAGTTAAAATAAACTACTTACAATTTAGATAGTTATGAATACTTTCTGTTTTGTGTTGTAATAGCTAAAAAAACTGAATTTTTATTTATTTTTTAAAAATTGAAGAAGTTTACTTGACATTTTTGTGTTCTTTTTGTTACACTAATTAAGATTTGAACCTTTTCCACTCCACTGACACCTTTGCAATGAGATCAAAAGTTGCCACTTTGAAATTTAAAATTTTTGTATCGTAATATTTCCTCACATTATTGATGATTTTTGATTGTTAAGTAGTAATACTGCATCATATATTTTTAATAAATTAGTGCTTACGTCACCTAATTTAAATATTTTAAAATACTAGTGCAAAAAGGTAAAATTATAGTTAGTTATAGTATAAAGGTAATAGTATATTAACAGCATTAGTGTATAAATTTTGAAATTTTAATTTTTTTTCAACCTTCCATATAAAAAAATGAGAGTCATAAATAAGGATCTAGTTACTTTAAAAAGAATAACAATCTTGATGTTAGTACGGAAATTTGCAATTTCAGTTTTAATTCTTAATTTCTAAATTTCAGTTAAATTGTGTAAATATAACTGATAAAAAGTAGATAAAGAATAAGAATGAAATTTTATGGGTTGTTTGGATGAAAAGTTTTATTGGTCACAAGAAATGTCATTTAAAAAATGCCACAAAACCAAATTTCTATCTATTTTTAAATAATAAACAATTTAAAAAAAATACACAAACTATATTTTAAAACGCAAAACAAACAATATCTATTGTGTTTCAAAATTATTATAAAGCAAATGTTGTGGTTAAGAAAAAAACAGATCCTGAAATTTAAATATAAGTGATGCAAAAATGCTTTTACAATGAAAAAGTAAAACTTTTTAATAGTTCTATTACTTCAAAATTCTAGACATAATCCATTAAAAAAAATATTAATAAAATTTTCAATTAAATATTATTTATAATGTTTTCCTTCACTTACTTATTAATAATTGATTCATGAAGGGATAGTAATTACATTTTCCCGCGCAATTACCATTTAAAAGTGTCACTAAATATTTTTTAATAATATTTTTCTTTTTCTGGTCATTGATTTGTATACTTAAATGCATGATCTTAATGTATGAATTATCAACAATAAGTCATGAGGCTTACTTTTTGAGAAAAAATATGTCAAATTATGCATCTTGTAAAAACAAAATTTCACTAGATGAAGATTTTAGATGAACACATAGATTTTAAGATAAACAAATATATAAAATATTGATAAGAAATATTTTGCACCAAAAAATTTAAAAATTCAAATAATATTCAAACTAATAAAGTCTTTATAAGGTATTGGTATGCATACCTAAGTTCTTAAATGCTAAAGGCAGGGACAGCAGCCAAAATTTTCAGAAAATTGTAAGGAAAATAATAGAATTTCCACGAATATTAATTTAAATCATAAAAAATATCTACTTTCCTACATAGCCTACATAAATTTTAAAAGCAGTAATTAAAAATAAAATTGCTGAAAGGATCAAAATTCTGTAAGCGTAAAGACAGATATTTTACTTTCTACTCTTTTCATAACACTTTAACAATATAATTATGAGTCATAAGCAATATAATACACATTTTGTATAAATAATATATTTACAAAAAATTGAGACAAGATTATTTATCAAAAAATTATTATGCCAATAACGACTAGCCAAAACCATCTAATCTCTAAGGCAGATAGTCAATTTAGTTTTTTAAGGCAGATAGATAATAAATTTTACTGCAAAAAGCATTATATTATTAAAATGCAAGTATGGTAATATTTAAGAAAGAATTTTAAATGAGAAATTTTTTGACACAGAATTTTTCAGAATTTTGCAATTCTAATTCTAATAAATCTAAGAACAATGTAACTGTTGCACCCAATTTTTTAATAAAAATTACAGAAGCTAGATATATTTATTTTTACCTTCATTGGTCACTTAATGTTACAGTGAATTTTAAAACTGTTTATTTTCCAGGTTTTGACCAAGTATTGCACTATTTACTGACTTTTCTTTCTTCTCTTGAAATCAAAATTCCTGACAACTCCAAGTTTTTCCCGAATCGGTGGAACCCTTTTTAAATTATTTCCAAGGTACATAAACAGGGGTCTGTCCAGACATTTTGTAAAAGGTCTTGTTTTTGTAAAATTGTGAAAAAATTACTCACAATTTGTGAATATAAAATAAACGTTAAGTCACATTCTTTCAACCATTGTCCTGCTTTTATGAATTTGTTCAAATAGGGTCCGGTTATTGCAAAAAACTAGGAGTTTTTAAATTGTAAATAGATACAAGATTACGCTCAGCACTGTAAAATTATAATTTAAAAGAAATCAAATTTTCAAAAATAAACAGCAATCGCTGCTTCTAAATTAGAGGTGCAACATACAAAAATTTGGTATTTAGCCTATACTGCTGAACGCAGAATATTAATTTCAGGCGAATAATGGAAGAAGCGTCTGCCGAAGACAAAACTTAATTCGTTTTCATCCATATTTCTTGTATTCCCCCCTGGGAAGGGTTTAGTCGATTAGCAAAACAATAATGAAGATAAACAAATTTGTGAAGGGTCCGTTTAAAAGAAAAATTTCCTTCTAAACAGACCCCTGATAAGATAAACGCATCGTGCTGTGTTCATTAAAATTAATTGAAAACTCTAACATGAAATGCTTACCTAGCACTTGTGTTTTCAATAAATTCCAATGTCTTAGCCAGTGCAAGATAGGGAACTTTTTCATTACGTTTCCAACAAGCATCTTCAATGGGATGATATTTACTTTTTGAAGGGTCATAATGAACTCCAGAGGAACTATTCAAGAAATGTACAAAACATTACTAAATAAGAAAATTAAAAAATGTTACTTCGAAATAACTTAATAAGAGGGTTCCTACAGAGCAGGGTTCATGATTTTTTTGATTTAAATAGGATTTTTTTTTAAAATTCAAATACACTTTGATTTATTATTAAAAAAATTGTTTAATCAAAATTAAATTAATATTAAAACTATATTACAACAACATTTACAGAAGCTCTAACTACCTAAAACAATTTTTCATTATAATACATAGCCTTGAATGCATAGCAAACATTTTGAAACAAATGTATGATTGAAATTTAAAGAGTGGTTGAAATAGAGAATTCGTTTAAATTTAACCTCAAGCATTAGAAATATACTTTTTCCACCAATAAAATATACTGCAGATTTTAACTCTATGCTTTTTCAATCAAAAGGTAGAAATTTAATTAGCATTTGTATTTTTGTTGTGATAAAAATTCATGTTTATTAATTACTTTCTACAGCTATGTAAGTCAGCAATAAATGTTAAGACAGTATTAAATGTTATTACTGTCATAAATGTTATTACAAATTCATAACGAGATTACTTTAATCTCTACTTTCAATCTCAAGAATCAAAAGATTTTTAAAAATGTAATTTCAAACGTGTTGGAATTTAACATACACTAAGAAGGAAAGTAATTTTGTAAACTGAAATTAATTAATGCAGCAATTTATTTAAAATAAATCTTAAAACTAAGAAAAGAAATAATAAAAGTATCAATTCACTGTATTTTAACTTTGTAAATCAATATATATAAAAAAATCCTTTGATCTAAATCCATGATGTTTTTTAAAAATCATTTGATTTAAATCCATGATTTTTTTAAAAAATCGTTTGATTTAAATCCGCGATTTTTTTTGAAAATCATATGATTTAAATCGTGATCTAAATCAAGCTGATTTAAATCGTGATCTAAATCAAGCTGATTTAAATCAACAAACCCTGCTACAGAGAAAAAAATACCCTCAGCATGAATTGTAGGAAAAACACAATAAATCAATTGAGAACGATGTCTTAATACAGGGATGAGATTAGCAAAAAGGCAAAAAAGCTAAATTTTACGCAAGCGCATCCCTATAATAATAAATTCCAGACAGTTTAAGGTAATAAATAATGTGTTGACATACAATTGTGCACTAATCTATTATTATATAAATGATTACATTGATACTTAACATTTAGTGAAAATAAAAATTACCAATTGAAAAAATAAAGCTAGAAATTATATTTTTCCTCAGTTCACATAAGAGACAATTATTACTTGAAAAACTACCTGGTTTAGCAAATTAAAACTACTGAGAATATACATTAATATTTCATTTCTTTTAATAAATACTGTTATGTGATTTATAGCAAATATATCGGTAATATTACTTTTTAAATTATATTGGAAAAAAAACTTTTAACAATGGACCGAATTATTATGTTTATATTATAGTCTAATCTAACTAGAGCCCTCTGAAACACATCAATAACAGTGAAGTAGAAATATATAGTAACTCTTTAACATACAAAAATTGCTATTTTAGTTTGAAAAATTACATGACAATCAGCAACTGTTTAGATAATTGTTTTTTATTTGATAAGAATTTTGCATTTTATAGCATAAATAACAGCAATTATAAATAAAATTTTGATGATGAGTTAATTAACTCTTTTTCCAAAAAAAAAAAAAAATTAAATTAAATACTTTTTTTAGTGATTGCTTTTGTTTGCTATATCTTTTATGTTTGCTATATTTAGACGTTAGTTCATCTTCAAACATCTTGTGACAAATCCTATTTTTTCTTCTTTGCAAGCACAGAATCTAAGTTTTAAATATATATTCCCTTCCAGTTTCTCTGATGTGGTAAAACTTACATATGCTAATAATCGTCGTGAGAAAAAAAAACAGTCACCTTTATAGTAACTAATTAAATAAAAAATTTACTTCTTACAAGAATCACGATAGTTGGTCTTAAAATTGCATGAATATGAATAACAATTATGGATTTTGAAATCACATGAATATGAAACAAGATATGCGATTTTGATAATGAGAAAGTACAAACTGGGATATCGAATTTTTAAAACGCGCAAATACAAATATGAAAAGCTATGTTTGATATTAAAATCGTGTGAATAAGAATCGAGATATTTGCAGATTCCAGGCTCGGGACTTCTAAAAGGCTTGTCAGAAGCAGCATCGTTTGAACTACGAAAATCGGATCTATCTGGAGGGCGGGTAAAAAATTCGGAAAATTTTATCTGCTGCGTGAAAAAGGGGAGAAAATAGCTAAAATAAGTAAAAATGAGAAAGGATTGGTAGCTATGTAGTTTCTGTAATTTTCTGTTTCTCTTTGAAAATCGGTGAATTTTCAGAAAAAGCGGAATACTTATAAAAAAAAGTGAAATTTTTAGAAAATCTGAAATTTTGATAGAAAAACTGAAATTCAAGAGTTAAGTGAAAAAAGCGGAAATCCGCTAAAAAGCGGAAAAATCTCATCCCTGTTAATATCAGTGGGCAAAAAACATGAATAAAACCCTAAAATCATGAAAAATATAAAGTTAACATACATCAATAATAACACAAAATTAGTGTTATCTGTCCGCATAATACAATGTTTTATATCCAGACATTATACATATAAATCAAACTTTTGAGTCAAAATAATTCTCTACATTTTAAAGATTTTAAGACTGAAGTTTGTTTACCGTTAACCGCTTCCCTGATCATCCCGAGTTAACTAGAGTATGTATATATTGCAAATATTTATTATCCCGAGAAAACTTAGGCGTTGCAGAATTTGTCAGTACGTTTTGTCTTATCACGTTTTCACTTGGCCGGAAGTAAAGGAAAAAAATCTGCTGTGAATAGAATTTTGCCAAGTTTTGTTCAGGAATTTTGCTCTTGGACTGTGGTATTGCACACGTGTTTCATGCAATCGTGTACATGATGGTTGCTGAATTTGCATAAAAAGAAGTTTAAAAAAAATGGCGTTCACATACGAAAATGGATGATTTTCGAAATTATGAAGATGTGAACATATACGAAGACTGACATTTAACTTTTTTCTTTTGCCCTAGATAACTTGGGATAGAAAACCTATTGTAAATTAAAATATTTTTTACACATAAAAACGAAATTAAAATTCCAACTAAAAATTTGTGTATTATGTTTTGTTGTAGTCCATTGTATTTATTAATGAAATTAAAAATATAATGACTTTTTTGGATTTTTTTTCTCCAAAAAAATTGGTAAGCGGTTAACCATCTGAAAACCTTGAAAAATATTAAAAATACTTACCTATAGTTGTCTAAGTCCTTATTTAAGCAATAATTTCATCTTAATTTAATATTACAGCAAAAAAACTATAAGTTCCAACAAAGTTTTTTTTTAAACCATAAAATTACTACATCAAAGGAAATAATCTCATGACCATGGGTGCAATTTGGAAAAAAGGCCAAGACTGAAAATTTTTTGACTGAAATACCTAACATACACAATACTCCCTCAACATATGCAAACTATCTAAGAAAGCTTTACCATAATACATCAAGTTTAAATACTGTACAAAAAATACCTATTCATCTGTCTTTTGATAAAATAACAACAGGACATAAGAAAGTAGACCAATAATGTAGACCTAAAAAGTATTCTTGCTTCCGTATTCTTGCTTGCTAAATAGTCAGTCTTGCTTCCGGCCGCGGACATTTTCGAAAGACGGTAATCCGTCCTGGGGACAGAAGACTTGCACCCATGCTCATGACTATATTACGTATATAACACAATAAAGAGACAGTAAAGAATAAAAGAGAGATTAGCAAAGAAAATTTTTAAAAAAATAATAAGTATTACTTACTACTCATAAGTTCATAAAACACATGAAATAAGTCAAAAATATAAAAAAAATAGATAATTTTAAAGAGAAGAAAAAAATCTCAATAAATAAAATGTTTCTGAAAATATTAATTAAGTTCAAAAACAACACAAATATAATATAAGACGTCAAATTATATTTGTAAGAAAGAGTTCTTTCTACTATTGCATTGATATGGCCAAAGCAAAATATATCTTAATTAATATACATTTCAAAATATGAATTTATCTTTCTATACGATTCAGGGAGAAGCACCAAAGACATTGAAACTAAAATAAAACAAAATAAAACATATTAAGCAAAAAATAGAAAATAAGAATGCCTTTATTTTCATATTTTGTAATCTGGCAAACTTGTTATGACAATATTTTAAATCATTTTAATAAGATGCAGGCAAGTAGAAAGACATTAGAGTTAGCTACTCTCTTTATATGTTAAATTTTCTATTTTATTCTGTATTTTTCACAAATTTTTAATTTGTGCTTGCTAAGTTGTATATAGTATTTTTTGCTTAGTATGTTTTACTTTTGTTTAAATTTTTTTGGTGCTTTTCCTACTACTGTATTGATATATTTTGCTTTGGCTATATCAATACAATATTAGAAAACACTCTTTTTTGTGGATATAATCGTGTGAGCTGATGACGAGATTATACCTTCTCCTTATTTCGCTTTACAGCTTTTTTTAAAAATATTTTTTAAGGACATTTATTAAAATTTTTTGTCGCCTCTTTATGAAAATATATCTAAAGCAAGAAGATTAAAAATTAGTAAAGATTGTCACTTATTTAGTAAAAATTTTTGACTATTAAAAACAAAATTATTTAGGGAGACATCTTTTTTTTTATTTTGCACACTGTGGACCTTTATATAATATCAATGGATATAATACAAATTACAAAAAAAAAAAATATTTATGATTACATCTAAAAAAATAAATTTTTAAATAAACATAACAAGTTTTTTTTTCTAAAAAAAGTATTCACCTAGAATTTACAGTTTTCTTTTTAGCTTTTTCATTTGGCGATTCATCAACCTTTTCTGAATCTAAAATTGAAAAAAAAATTTAAAAATAAGTTAAATGTTAACTTATTTGAGACTCATGAAAAAAACACAGGTAAATATACTAAGATTGTTTTAAGCTAATTCACCATCTATTAATGTACTTAGCTAAGTAATTGTAGTGTTTCTACCACTATAAAAATACAATGCTAATTCACTAGTATATAACACATGTTAACTTGATTCTATGTTGGGATACCTTTTCATAGATGAAGGTTGACATCGTCAATATCAACTCTCCCCACATTGGTGACCTTCGGATGTGATGCGAACATGCCTACTTTAACAGAAACTTCCACTTCGATATAAACACACCTACTTTGATGGATGGTTCACATTAAACAGATGACTTGCTACTTGTGACTGCGACATTATCCAACCCCTCACCCTGTTGCTACTCATTCTCAATCACGCACAACGTACAAATTATTCCCTCGACTGCTAAATGCAACAAAGGAGCGACCACAACTGTGAACTTAATACAGCTCTCACGATCAGCACTCAAAAGTACGGTGATTTTAATACAGCTCTCCCGGCTTCTCACAAAACAGCCATGAATCAACTAGTGGTATCCGTTCATCGAATTCTATCACAGATATAATTCTGGTGGGGGAGTACTGTAGTGTATCTACCACTACAAAAATGTAATTCCAATTCACTAGTATATAAGACTCGTTAACTCGATTCTATGATGCGGTACCTTTTTATAAATGATGGTTGACATTGTAAGTATCAACTNTTACATCTAAAAAAATAAATTTTTAAATAAACTTAACAAGTTTTTTTTTGCTAAAAAAAGTATTCACCTAGAATTTACAGTTTTCTTTTTAGCTTTTTCATTTGACGATTCATCAACCTTTTCTGAATCTAAAATTGAAAAAAAAAAATTTAAAAATAAGTTAAATGTTAACTTATTTGAGACTCATGAAAAAACACAGGTAAATATACTAAGATTGTTTTAAGCTAATTCACCATCCATTAATGTACTTAGCTAAGTAATTGTAGTGTTTCTACCACTATAAAAATACAATGCTAATTCACTAGTATATAAGACATGTTAACTCGATTCTATGTTGGGATACCTTTTCATAGATGACGGTTGACATCGTCAATATCAACTCTCCCCACATTGGTGACCTTCGGATGTGATGCGAACATGCCTACTTTAACAGAAACTTCCACTTCGATATAAACACGCCTACTTTGATGGATGGTTCACATTAAACAGATGACTTGTTACTTGTGACTGCGACATTATCCAACCCCTCACCCTGTTGCTACTCAGTCTCAATCACGCTTAACGTACAAATTATTCCCTCGACTGCTAAATGCAACAAAGGAGCGACCACAACTGTAAACTTAATACAGCTCTCACGATCAGCACTCAAAAGTACGGTGATCTTAATACAGCTCTCCCGGCTTCTCACAAAACAGCCATGAATCAACTAGTGGTATCCGCTCATCAAATTCTATCACAGATATAATTCTGGTGGGGGAGTACTGTAGTGTATCTACCACTACAAAAATGTAATTCCAATTCACTAGTATATAAGACTCGTTAACTCGATTCTATGATGCGGTACCTTTTTATAAATGATGGTTGACATTGTAAGTATCAACTCTCCCCACAGTAATTCTTGCTTCTTAGCTTGATTAAAGAGTATTACTTGATTAATCAATGAGTATTACTTGAATTTAGGAATCAAACAAATATTTAAAACTGCTTTAATTAAACATCATGCATTTAGTGACCAGATTGATCTACACTTATTCTGCCAGTCAGACTATAAATCAGTCTGTCTCATAATCACTACTTATAATGGGGACCCTTCAAAGTTTACTTTGTGGGGGGGGGGGTAAGAGATCTTGAACAAATTAATCCAATTAGAAATTATAATTCGTACTTGCCAACATTGAGAAATCAAATAACGGAGCTCTTACCAACCTACCCAATTTTGGGTCTACAACTACTGAAGTTCAACTCCGTAGTCTTATAATTTTGAACCCAATCTAGAAGACAAGGGAATTCCTGGATCAAGTATTAGGATAAAATTGCCTTGAGGAGGACTTTTTTTATGAAACTAAACCGTATTTGAGCTACACGGAGACAAAAACCATGAAAATCTCACACGATTAGCCTGACGATAAGGGTTCTAGCCCGTGAATCATCTACCACTGAGGATATTTCACTTCAGCCCTGTGGTTGTTGCAAGCCGAATGCGAAATTTGATCGACCCGTGGTAGCTGGAATGCGAACCTGGTTTCACCTCAGACGAACGCCCTATCCCCTGAGCCATCTCGGCTTGACTTAAACAATTAACACTCAACACATTGCAGTAGTGGCAATAGCACCATCTGTTGAGGAATACGAGAAGTATTTTTGCCATCAGTGGATATTTTGTCATCAATTTCTTTCTTTTTTTCAAATACGGAGAAATTTGAAAATATACAGGTAAAGAGGAAATGGTCGTAAAATACCGGAGTCTTTGTTAAAAAACAGGAGACTTGGCAGGTATGGTAATCTAACTATGATGGTTTTAAATAAAATATGGATAAATTTAAGAGAAACATTTCTTCATGCCAATCTTCAAATGGCAAGTGCGAAACAAATCTGCTACAGAAAAAAGCAGGTGAAAGCACAGTAGTCTGATTGATAAAAGGGTTAAGAATTTTCATTTTTCATATAAAATCTGGAATGACACCAGAATGACAAACATTTCCTTATTTAAACAATCAAAATTTTAATACAAATTTCTTATGATGTAACTAAGTAAGAAGTTTTATCATTTTTACTTACCATCAGGATTCTTGTTGTTTTTCTTGGACTCAGATTCCCCATCCGATGAGCTATTCTTCTCTTCCTCTTTTTCACTCTCAGATACATTTTTTGATTTTACAGGAGACTCTTTCTTGGCTATTTAGATAAACAATAAATAAAATGTCTATTTCTCACTTACAAGTAAGATGTAAAAAAAAAAAGAAAAGAAAGAATTTATTGCGAAATTTTCTTCGTATTATTTTTTCTTCAGATTTTTTTATTATTATTTTTGATTCAGATAATTTTTATATCTATTTATGTAACTTAATAATAAGAAAAAAACAAATAAAGTGAACGTTATCTAGATAAATCTAAAATTGACATGATTATATTTAAAAGTAAAAAAAAAAATTTCACTAACATAAAAACAAGTTACTGAAAACAAATTAATAATACGGTTCACACTCAAAATCAAGTATCAATAAGAAAAAAAAGAGGGGTACGGCACAGCGCCATTTGAAAAAGGCAAAGTATGAATGCTTGTTAACATGGAAAGACTTCAAGAATTCATTAACAAGAGTTTAAGATGAATCTTATGTATGCAGTGGTTCCAAAAAATTTGTAATGTGGAAATCCTTAGAAAAGCAAAACAGTAATCAATTGGAAATTAAAAAATGGAAATGAATTGGTCATGTTCTATGTAAATCTAAAAAATTTAACTTTGAACAAATTTTTGTTTGGAACGTTCAGAGCAATAGAAAAAGAAGACCAAAAAATACTTGGCGCAGAATGATTGTAAGCAAATTGAAAACAATAGGAAGGACATGAAGAGAGGCAAAATATCAGAGTGAGATGGAAAGCCATGATAGAAGCCCTATGATTCAATTTGAAGTGAAAAGGAATATGTATATACTTTTCTGAGTATTATTTTCATTTACTTTACAAAGGCAAATTTAACATAGATTACACGTTGAATGAAACATAATAAAGGGTTCCCACTCTTTCAATAAAGCAAAAATTAGGCACCTTCTTTTTTTGAAAAAATTAAGTACTTTTTTGAAAAATTAAGGATTGTTTAAAGTTAACGTCATTCAGATTGTAAAAGTTAACCTATAAAACTAAACTGCATTCCACTTTTAATGATTTCATTGAAATTGAATTGTAAAATTAAGTGCAGAATTTAAAATTTGTAATTTTTTTCATGTATATTAAAAAAAGAGTAAATAAAGAAGTTTGACTAAAACAGTAAAAAAAATTACTTCAACAAGTTTTTATATTTTTCGCTATTAGACCAGCAAATGTGTTATATTTACTTTTATGATGAACTTCAACAAAACTATTTCCAATCAAACCAGTTATTAGGAATTAACTTCTACATAATGTTACTAAACATTCTGGCGAAAAACATGAACTAATTTTAAAACAACCAAAAATTGAACAAAAATTAAAAACAGCATATTAAGTTGCAATGTTAACTTAATGAAATTATTATTAAAATCTAAGGATCTTTCAGTTGAGTAGATTTACATTTTATGTAACAATCTGCTTATCCTTAGGAAATAAAAATAATAGCGGAACAATCTAAAACTTTAAACAAAAATTTTACATTACAGCAAAACAAATTATAAATAGTTACTAAATACTTAACTTTCTTGTTGAAGAAAATCCATGTTTTTTTTTATTTAGTACTTAGGAAAATTTTTTTTAAAGTATTTTTGAAGAAAGAAAAAAACTTGAGGTTTTCATCAAAAAACCAATAAACCCCAGGTTTTTGATGAAAAACCTAGGTGGGCTGAGATTTTTTAAACCTTGTTTCCAATAGATCTGTTTATTTTTTTAGTACAATAATGAATTTTAAAAAATGCTATGCTTTCTATAAATTTACGTTTACTTATTACACATTGAAATATTATACAAATTCATTTAATTCTTCAAGATTTCAGGAAATAGTTTTCATTATGGATTCTAGTTCAAAAATTTTTCTGATACTTCGTTTCTTAGCATTTTATTTAATCCCTACAATCAGATGTGTTACCAGTAGAAGTGAATTTCTTAAATTCTGTTAATTTTGAAGGTTAGTGCGGGTCTTCTACTTAGGAACCTAAAAATTGCCCCCCCGCCTCCCAAAGCAATATCTCTTCCATGTGCTGTATTCCCCTTGTCGACATTAGTCTTTCCCTTTAGAATGCTTCACTCTCCTCATAGAACATCATTCTAGGCAAAGAGCAGAATATATCAATGAAAGAACCAATATATTAATGAAAGGACACACTTTCTTCCCCTTGCCTGTAGCCCCCCACACATTAATTTTTGTTTCCCTAAAATGCTTTACCCTTGATGCCTGGTCTAAATCTAAGTGATAAAAAAACAACAATTTAGTTTAAAAAATTGAGCTGAAAAATTGTTCCTATCAATCACAGTGATGCTGAAAAATTGAGGAATTTTAAAAACTTTGAACTAAAATTAAGTACTTTTAAGGGCCCTTATTTTCGAAAGTAAAAATTAAGCAGTTTTTAAGGACCATGGGAACCCTGTAATAATTACAATAAATCTTTGATTATGTCACAAAGTAATTTCAATTTGTGAAGATTGTGATACTGATTGCTTATGAAATTTCCACTAACATACCTACGGCCTATAAGCTAAAAGAACTAGTACAAAATTATCATGCATGTACAGCAAAATAAAAATTAATAGCAGAATAACCATTCAAAATACAATACCAAAAAAAGGGTGAATTGCTTGAGGTTTCTTGGAAGAAGTAATTTTCTCCGAAGATTCTTCTTTACTTTCTTCAATATCATCAGATTTAATTTTTGAAGTCTTATTTTCATCTTTAGTTGAAGAATCTTTTTTAACCACCTCTTCTTCATATGTTTCGATGCTTGGAAATTGCTTCGTTGAATCTTCTTCAAAACTCGTTTCAATAGCATTTGAAGCTTTCATAGATTTGCGTGCTAAAGAAAAAATAAACAATTATATAACTAGATGAATATCCGTTCTTTACACGATGCTAAAAATAAGTAGATAATCATTAAATCAGCATTCATGAACACTATAAAAAAATGCACAAAACTAGAAGGCACATACCAAAACAATTGAAAAAAAAAACTTAAAAATTTGCTATTCTTATTTAGTGTTATTAGTTGCGGAACCTGCAACTGACTTTATAGGTCAAGCAAAGCAAATTTTAAATATTGTAATTTTTCTATTTTCATTTGAGAATAACGAAGTAAAAAAAAAAAAATTTCTGCAAGAATATTCATTCTATTTTTTATTAATTTTTTTTGGCAGTTATTGCTATTGATATAAATAGTCTTTAAAATCCGATATTTTTTAATATGATTATTACAAGAGCAGAATCTTAAAAAGAAAACACGCATATGTAATCCCTTTTTTTTTTTTAAAGAGTTCACTTTCGTGTGATTTTGCGGTCGATCTTTTTTCTTTCGGTAGTTACAGCGACACTGATATAAAAGAAAATGCAGATGATTTCAAAGATAGCGTCAGTGATGTTTTCTTGCTTATAGCTCTTGTCCGCGCCCTCATTGGCGAGATTGTAATGCGCCAAGCGTAGCTTTCTAACATTCTTTTCTCATTCAATAAAAAATTACCAAACGTAACAGTCCACTTGACTCTATTAGCTCCGACAGCTCTCATTAATCAAAACAAAGAAGTTTATTGGATGTTCATATATATTTAATTATTTATCAACAGTTTATCAATGTGAGCATGGTAGCATAGGTAAGCTACATCACCAAATTAGCATTTCTGAAATAATATGATACAACCTGTTTCTTTTTTTTTTAAATTAAGCTTTTAAAATATATTTCTATAAAAATGAATAATTTAAAATCAACAGTTTTTGAAAAGCAAAATTAAAATGAAGAAATAGTACTAAACCGCTTAGCAGATAGGTCAAAAATTGCAATGCTATTATAGATGTCAATTATACTTGAATAATTTTAGTAAAAGGTACTAATTGGAATAAAAAAATTAACTAAGTACTAAAGGGAAATCATAATGGAAAAATGATACTATTTCATTTAGTACAAGTGCAGTAAATTGCCATACTGTTATTGACACATATGATGCTTATTTAATTTTGGTAATAGTTATTATAACTGAAATAAAAAAAATAAACTATGTATTATGTAGAAAAATGAATGGAGAAATGGTACTAATTCATTGAGAAGAAAAGTTGAAAATCGTGATACCATTTTGGGCACCAATGACGTTTTATTAATTTTGGTAACAGAAACTAATTAAAATAATACTAGAAACTAAGTACTAAAAAGCAAAACTTATTGGAGAAATAAAACTAATTCATTTAGAAGGAACATAAAAAAAGCCATAGTATTAGTGACATCAATGGTGCTTAATAATTTTGGTAATAGGTACTTTTGATATCATGGTAACAAACATATTAATGTAGATAAAATTAGTATATTTAATACCAATTAAAACTGATTAATACTGTGCAGTTTTAAATTAGAGGTGTTTTGTTTACTTTTGTTTAATTGTTTACTTGAGGTTAATTTAAACCATTATAAGCTGGTCTCTAGCAATAATGAAAAATAATACTAAATAAAATAAAAAAAAATTGGAATTATTTTAACTTGTGCTGTTATATGTCTGAATCTTGTGCAAGATTTGTTGTTCAGTACTGATTTATTGAATTTTAATTTTTTTTTCCAACCTGCACTGAGAATGGGATATTCAGCTAGTATGATATAAAAATTTTGATTAAAAAGCATCATATATATTTTGAATAAAATAATTCTAAATATATTCTAAAGCTTCACTTCAAAAAAGTAAAATTCTTCAAAACTCATCAGAAATAACTGATACAGTCTAATTAACTACTAATCAAAAATATTTGTGAATAACATATCTGTGAAAATATGAGTTATAAGACAGCCCAACACTGAGGATTCAACCTGACATACTGTAAATGATGTGCGTAAGAATCAACTCACACCAAACTTTGCAGTTATAAAGAGAAATTACTAGAAGCTGGAAAATATAATTTCTGATTCAGTTCACAAAAATAAAAAACAAAAATGTTTTAGAATAATAGCATGCCTGCCAACATTTTACATCAGGCATAATCATGTAAGTCTCAAAATTGGAAATAATGTAGGCACTTATATTTAGAAAATTAAAAAAATATGTATATGAATCAATCTAAAAGAGATTTTTATAAACCATTATATAACTAATTTATTTTATAACCGTTGTTGAACAGACGAACCAATTTTTTGGGTTTACGACTACTAATACTCTGCAGCTTTTTAACTTTGAACCATATCCAGAAGACAAAGGAACTCCTGGATCAAGTATTAGAAGAAATTTGTCTTCGTGGAGGACTTTTTGAAGAAACTAACCTGCATTTGAGTTACATGGAGATGGAAACCATGAAAAACTCCCATGGTTAGTATGAAGGCAAGGGGACTTGTTCATAATTCGTCTACCACTGAGGATATTTTTACTTAAACTATTAACACTCAATATACTGCAGTGGGGCAATAGTACTATGTGTTGAGGAATACGAGAAGTATTTTTGAAATCAGCGGATATTTTAGCTCAATTTTTTCACAAATTTTATCAACAAATACGGAGAAATTTGAGAATATACAGGTAAACAGGAGGTAGTTGTAAAATACAGGATACTTCGTAGTTATGTAATAATCTCTTGGTATAACAAAGATAGATTTAATTGATTATTTTGTTGCCAAATTAAAGTTAACACTAGTTTAGAACTAAACGATCTAAGTGATTTTTTTTCATCCATTAAGAGATATAACTTTTTCCCTGAATTAAAAAAAAAAGTTCAAGGTATTTAAGAAATTAAGTCTATACTACAAATTTATTTTATTTTTCAATATCTATATGCAATACATTCATTTTATTCTTTCAGAACAGTCTGGCAGCAGTTAATCCACATTTTACAGTTTTCTGTTAAGAATTGTGTTAAAGAGATTGACAATTCTGTATAGGAACAGAAAACATGAAAATAAAAATTTGAAAAACACATACTGAAATTTTAACTTAAAAAAAAATCCAAATTAATACCTAGATTCCAAATTAATATATTTATATATATATATAAAAGGATAGTCTTAAACTTTAATATAAAGTTCCAAATTCTAATAGCAACACCATTAATTTTATCCATTAACTGCAGAGAAACTGAATTAAGGAAGATTTTTTTCCACTGAAAATTCCTTCCCAGCATTGAAATACACAAAAAAAGAAAAACAATTTGCTTAAAAAGTATAGTGAATTAAAAACATTTACATACTTCCTACAAAAGATTTAAATCGATTTATTTTAATTATTAGTAATAGAAATGAAATTCTGAAAAATAGCAAAACAGTGTTTCCCAAACTTATGACTTTTGTGTACCCTTTCTAAATTTTTCGTAATGCTGTGTACCACTAATAAAAAAATGAACGTATTTTTTACTATAAAAAATGTGCAATAAAGTTAAAAATCACAACTGGCTGTTGATACCACTAATTATTAACTGTTAACTCTGCAAAAAAAAAAATAGTCAATAGAAAAATACATAATCATAAATTTTCATGGCTAGCTTTATTTTTAAATAAAAAATTTTGAAATTTTCGTTTGTTGCAAGATATTTCGCATAAGAACACGTACCCCTGCTAAACTGTTCCCGTACCCCTGGGGTACGTGTACCACACTTTGGGAAACACTGGCTTAAAGAGTAGCAGAGCTACTGATAATCTTTAGCATGCAACCATTAATTAGCAACAAAAGGAAAAAAAAGAAGTAATAATACAAAATAGAAAAGAACAAAGCAACAATAAAAGTGCAAAAAATTACTTTTCCCTCATTCTAAGGTACTTGAAATTTATACTATGTTATTTAATTAAATATAGATATTTGTTATATCAATAAAATTCAAAAATATCTTCAAAAACTTTATATAATCATGATAAAATAACTAGTTTTTGATAAATATTGCAGAAAAAATTGGGAAAATTATGAATTTTTTTGTTATTTAGAACGACAATCGAAAAGCAAAGAAAAAATCTCTTTTAACAAGATAGAAAATTAAGCACTTTTTACAAACCTCGAATAGATATATGCACCTTTAAGGGCTTTTAAAAAAACGAACAAGGTGGCCACAACACTACAATTTATATTAAAGTACAATATTATACTCACAACACTACAATTAAGTTAGATTTTCAGATATGATTCAAATTTATGAGAATCTTGCAATTTTTCATGTCCAAGGAGAAAAAAAAGCTGAAATTACAGATTTTACAGGGTTCCCACTCATTTTTTTAAAAAAAATTCAAGGACTTTTCAATGACTTTCAAAGACCTAATATCAAATTTTTCAAGGACTTATTCAGTATTACAGTTACATGCTAAAGTACGTGTCAACCAGATTTTACAATTACACAGAAGCAGAAATTGAATATTTTTAATGCACAATGCTTATTTGGCAACAAAAAAAATTTAATTAAATTTATCAGCTAATAATACAAATGGTTGATAGTTACATTGCTGTTTCAAATCACTTTGGAAAATTTCAGTTGACGAAAAAAANATACTAGCCCAACATTTAAAAACTAGCATCAGTGAAACTTTTCACGAAAAATTTAATGATGTGCATTAGAATTAATGTAATTGAATGAATGAATGATACATATTACATTAAACAAGCATAGTAAAGAATTGATAAAGTTTGTGTATGGTTATTAAAATATAAATACTTTTTTTTAATATGTTAGATCAAATTTTAGGTTACAGGAAATGTATATAATTAGATAAAATATCAAAATATATCCATTTAACATCTGTTTCAATTTTAATAACAAATTATCTATTTTATTACTTCAGAATATCAGTAATGTATTTTGAACATAATAAAATCTATCATAGAACAATATTTTACAGATACCTAACTAAGACTTATCAAGCTTCATTTTCTTTAAAATGTATCTATAAAATGTGAAGCGTGATTTTTAAAACAATTTTGTGAACAAGCATAATTTTCACTAAACGTAATTTTTTAATTGCATTTATACGAATCTAGATATACTATACGTAAATCAAAATTATAGGAAAGGTGAAGTCTTGAAGATTGCGTAAATTACATATCACAATGTGCGATTTTTAAATAGAAATGCGGTGTATTTATTTTAAATTGGAACAATATGAATAGCAAATGATACAAAACGCACGAACTAACAAGATGCAAATCACAATGTGTGATACATAAATCATTTTAATGTAAATTCTGTTGTGTGATTAACCAATAGTTTTCACGTGAATAGTGATCATTATGATGCAAATTGCAATTTGTGGTTTAAAATGTGCTTAATATAGAACAGCTATGTGTGATTCTTAAATCATTTTGATGAGAATTGTGAGTGGTAATTCTTAAATCTCTCTTTTGTGAATCGCAATGCGTGATTTGTAAACTACTAGAATGAGAATTGTGAGGCATGATTCTGAAATTACTTAAATACGTATCACGTTATATGATTCAGAAATAACTTTAATTGAAATCATGATGTGTGAATCCTGATGAGTAATTTGCAAATCACTTTAAAGTAATATTCGATATGTGATTCATTGATCACTTTCAGTTAAACCACAATTCGTAGAACATTTTATGTGAATTTCTGATCCATAAATCAAGAATCAGTTTAATGTGAATCACGATGTTTATTCATAATCAATGAAACCTGTAGAACTAAATTTTATTTATTAGCAGTAAAAACTAAATGTAAAAATTTGATTATAAATGATAAAAAATTTATTATTTTTCGTCGTAATAATGAAGTTAACACATTGAACATATTTCTAAATCAACCTAATACAATATATCATTCGTTAACTATGACTGCAAAACGTAAAATTTGCTAGAAATTTCAGCCTTCAAAACATCAGTACATAAATTAAAAGAACAAATAGGATAACAATATTAACCTGTCATAATAATGAAGTTAACACGCTGAACATATTCCTAAATCAATTAAATACAATATATCATTTGTAAAATATGACCGCAAAACATAAAATTTGCTAGAAATTTCTGCCTTCAAAACATCAGAGAGAAGAACAATAACCTGGTGCGAAAACTCTAAGAGAGAAAATTTTTGCATCTTCTTTAACCCTTTTACACTTCAAGCATTAAAAATTGCATCTATCAAAATTTCTATAATTTTCCTTTGAATTTATTTATTTTTTTACTGCTTTTTTGTAAGAAAGATTAGTATTATTTTAATTCCTAACAAATCAAGCACTTTACAAGTACCCTATGGCAGAATTCAAGGACTTTTCAGGGCTCTGATTTTTTTCAACAAAATTCAAGGACTTTCAAGGTTTTTCAAGTACTGTGGGAACCCTGTTTTATGAGTATCCATTTTGCATTGGCCCCGCAATGGACTGATCATTAAGATACAGTTCCCAGCAGATCATCGAAGTCAAGCATCACTGGCTGAGGTCAGTGTGCGTGTGGGTGACCACTTGGATCAGTCTGCGTAGGGACCAAGGGTGTGCGGTATGGGTCCTTGCTAAACTGTTCTACCGTAAAGAGCTCGACTTCAAGTGCAGGCCGAAGGGGTACCGAAGCAGGGAGCCATCCCCTCTGAAGAGGATCAAAATTGTGATGGCATGTCTTCGGATCATCCTCAGGGATGTTTCCCAGATCGTCACCAATAGCCCATTGTACAGCTCTAGTGCGACGTAAATGAACTACAACAACAACAACAGTTTTGCATTGAAAAAAGGGAGGACTAGGGTGTAATATAAAATGTTTCAGATAACATAGTAAATATTAAACATAAATTATTATTCAAGGAGCTTTGCACTAAAATAATTTTATTTTCAAGTGAAATTAAGGATATTTATTATATATGGGATATGATACCAAAACTTCAATCTGGGAGACTTGGTGGCTACACTTATACATGTGAACAAATTTAAGGTATTTACAGAAACAATGCTAAAAAACGTATCTACCTGTTTTTCTTTTAGGCGGTGGAGGCAGTTTAGAGTTTCTATTACATAAAATTGACGAAGAAGGTGATTGAGAGTTAACTCTAGAATCTGATAAATTGCTGAGCACATTGGTTTTCCCAGGGGAATTACCTTCAAGTTTGATCTAGAGAGTAAATGACAATAAAAATTATTCTTAACAAATAATGTAAACAATGATTAAAATTTGGATATGAATAATAAAAAGGAATTAAAAAATATGAAACATTAAAATATAGCAAGCAAAATAGGAATAAGTAAAAAAAAAAATACCTTAAATAAAAGGTCAGAAACCAAAAACAAGCAAAAACGAAATTCTAAAAACACGTATGTTAGCATGTCTTTAGAATTTCGTTTTTGATTGTTTTTGGTTTCTAACTTTTAATTTAAATTGTTTTCATAAGACAAAATTTGGCTTCAGCTGCTTTTAGCGATTTTTCATTTTGACTCATTACTTTAAGTTTTTTTCTTATAGTTGTTTTTTTTTTTTAATATTTGCTTAAATCAATTTCATACTTTGATAAGTAAAAAAAAATAATAAAAAATTTTAAGGAAAGATTTTTTTTTAAAGAAAATTTCACCTCACCAAGTTGATTGAGAAATCGACCACTAAAATATTTATAATCTAGATGTTGATACTCAAATGATACTAGAAAAGATGTTGATACTCAAATGAAAAGCAAATTAATTAGAACTTATTTCTCTACCAACTATTGTATCTATCAATCAAATTAACAAAATATTTTTCTTCAAGGGAAACATTTGGAAGACAATCACACACAGAACTACTTCTTATAAATATACATTTTAAAACATAATTGGCTGGGTTAGTGGAGAAAAAAAACAACACAAAAACCATTCAGCTTTGTCTGGAATATTACTACTAAAACTCATAATTTATGGAAATAAAACGAATAAATTTGTATTATTTGTGCAAATTAAATGTTTCCAAATCTGAGAAGTTATTTTTCTTTTTTAATCCAATATTTCACAAAGTGGTTTAAATGAGAAAAAAATTTGTAACATTTAATTGAAAACGAGACCAATTTTTGCCACTCCCTAAAATAACATGATGTTTTAACAGTTATTCCCTGCACATATTAATACACAATATGTTAAGACACAATCACCATGCCCTAGTATGAGCTGTAACTATACTAGTTATAATTGGTGGAAAAATTAAGAGAAAAAAGCTGAATATACTTAAAACAAACAATGTTATAATAAATGAACCAGATTAATATCATTTTGGGGAAATAGTAGTAATCGACAATGTCAACCTTGTTCTATGAAAAAGTACCCCACCATAGAATCGAGTTAACATGCCTTATATACTGGTGAATTGGAATTTTGCAGTGGTAGGCACACTACAGTACTCCCACACCAGAATAACATCTGTGATAGAATTCGAAGAACTGATACCACTAGTCGATTCATGGATGTTTTGTGAGAAGCCGGGAGAGCTGTATTAAGATCACCGTACTTCTGAGTGCTAATCGAGACAGTGATATTAAGTTCATTGTCAATGTCGTTCGTGTCGCCATCAGCAGTAGAGTGTATACAGGCCAGAGTTGTGTATGATCGAGAGTGAGTAGCAACAGCGCTAAGAGGACAATGTCGCAGTCACAAGTCAACTGCTCGACATGGAGGATCCATCGAAGTAGGCATGTTCAGATCGAAATGGGCGATTCCGCCAAGGTACGCATGTTCATATCACATCCGGGTCACCAATGTGGGGATATAGAGGTTATAGACAGTGTCAACCTTCATCTTTGAAAAGGTACCCCACTATAGAATCGAGTCAGCATGTCTTGTATACTGGTGAATTGGAATTGAAATTTTGTAGTGGTAGACACACTAACAATCATCCGTAAATCCCATTTTCAGTGGTTACCATTTTTTAAAAAACAAAATTCCCTGCTATTTTGGGTAATTCCCTGTATTTTCCAGGCTTTCCCTGTGAAGTGATAACCCTGTAAATATATACCTTTTTTGAAGAAGACTCTTTCACATTTTGCAGAGAATCTTCACTTGATAACAGTTGTTTTCTATAAGTACAAAAATAAATATATAAAAATTGAGAAGACAATGTGTTAAGGTTTAAAACATCTTAAAAAATGATAAATAAAATTCAATAGTCAGGATGAGTAATCAAAACTCTCTTGCACTGTTTTTAAAATCCAGTACATAACCAATAAAATATAAAATAAAAAACTATATTAAACAGGTAATGAATACAAAAGTGGGATAGATATATTAGAGTCATGCAAAACGTCTGCCAACCGTCATAGTAACAGGCGTATTTGTACCAGTTACTATGACGGTTGGCAGACTTTTTGTAATTTAAATTTTCAGTTAATAAAACCAACAGTCACTAAAAGTTTTTATAATTTAAAAGTTTGTAAAAGCAATATTATAAATAACATTTAGTGTTATATTGATAAGTTATGACACTAATTAATAATTCAAATAAAAAGATTTTTTAATTAATTATTTTGATCTCTTGAAAAAAATATGTTATGATTCCACAAAGAACATAAGTTAGTTTCTTCCATAAGATGAAAATAGTATGTCAGCAGAAAATTGAGTTTCAGAAAATGGATGTTACTATTTTTACTCTGTTAACAATGTTTAATTATGCAGCATCAATATAATATTAAAAATAGCATCGATAATACCAGAAAATATCAGGATTGGCTTTTTACAGACAGAAACTGGTTATAACCAGTAAAAACTGGCTAAAACAATAAAAACGTTTATAGTTGCTAAATGACATTTAAGTAAACTAAAAAATTTGACTTCATTTCGTCATTCTAAAAACGTGATATAAAATAATTCAATGTAAAAAAAATTTATAAATTACAAGACTGAAATTTCTGAAGCAATAATTGTTGAAAATTACAACAATGATTAACGTAATCTTCTAGTAATTGTAACAAACTTCTCAGTTCACAGTTCGTAAATATATATATACTTTTTAACATTCAATATAAAAAGTGTAGTATGTGTAATATTTATATGAAAAAGTAATATAATTATAAATACTGGATTTAAGTTTTTATTATATTAAATTCCATAATTGAAAAACTTATTCTCATTGAACTTTTTACGTAACTAAATGAAGTCACTCACAAAAAGTTTTTTTTCTTGAAAGTCCTGATTTGCATGGCGACGGTCAACAATCCAATCATGTAAATACGATTAGTCTTAATCTTTTCTACTTATGAGAAGTCATATAACTGGATAGATTCAAGACTCAAATGTAAACATTAACTTATCTTTTGTTAGGTACAGACTATTGCAGAATGTAATATTTGATTTTGAATGGCGGTAATATATAAATGTATTGGTACTTGATTAACATTTAATTGCTTTTCTTACGCATTATCCGTTGTATGTCAGCAATTACTTTCCCATCATTTTCTGAGTTTCTATTTTAAATGCGGCAAAAAGTTTTTTTTTTTGTCATACCTGTATTACCCGGTTTCCACGAGTGCAACTACAGAAAAATGTCAACCCTGAGTGATTTCAATTAAGTTAGAAAAAATCACAAGCATTTTTAAATAAACCAAACATATTGCCATTTTTATTAAAATTAGAATATTTTAACTATTATGTAAACGAAACATGTCAAAACAGAGACATAGTTGCAATATTTTCACTTTATATTTTAGAATTCTATTCTATCTCTGATCTGATATTCTATTACTGCTTTTACTGGAGAATTCCTCCCCCCTTTTAACACAAGTCAAAAGCTTCAATTAATATCTCATTTTGAAAAAGGGAAAATTAAGTACATTTTAAAAACAGCCAATAAAAAAAGCACCTTTAAGAGCTTCTAAAAATGAAAATAAGCACCTTTAAGCACTTTTCAAAAACGCTACGCACTCTGTTAGAGTGTGAAGTACTAAATAAAAAAATGACTGAAGAAAAATAAGAGAAGATTACAAGAAAAAAAATTTATAAATACAACAAGTATTTTTCAGATTTTAGTAGTTATTATAACTGAGTATAATTTATTTATTTGTGTGATTGAGTGAAGTAATATTTTGAGATATGCTGAGTTCATATTACTTACCCTATCAGTTTTGTTGAAGAGTTATTACTTTGAAGACTTTCTCCAACTTCCTGACCTGTATTGAGAAACATAATGCTCTAGTTTCATTGTGAAAGAAATATGCACCAAAATAAATAATTGACTTTTTCAGAATACACATCAAAATAATCTGACATTTTTTATGAAAATGTACCAAAATATGTGAAATATGCCCCCCATTTATCGAATAAATAATTTAACTTATATTTAATAACTGAAACGTTTGTTACAATTATGTTGTTATTTCAAATTTGTTTTAACACACTAGCAATATTATAAAAATAAATGGTAACAAAAAATTATTGATAATATATATATTTTAAGATTCAAAACCAATAAAAATATTCTGAAAAATTTTAAAGTATAGGTTGGGATTAAAATGTGTTAAACTAATAACATTAAACTTAAAATCTCTTCTTTTATTGTATAATCCAATGAAAATTTTGTGTATTTGTGTAGAAACAAGTGAAAGGCATGTGACATGTGATCATGACAAACAATGATATTTTTTTAAATTCTTTTTTTTTACTGAAGTTAATTTCCCTAATTCTAAGTTATGTGCCAACTAGTTAATTGCAATTCAAATGTTTAAGTACTTATACACTTACATTATATATCCGACCGTATGTATAGTTAATAACATGCAAGAAGTAGAGTTACGTCCATTTTAATTGAGATTATTTAAATTAATAAATGCTTAAGTATTATGTTTTCATTACGACTAATTAGTTTTCTTCTTAGGATTAAAAGTGCGATAGTTCCTTTATTGTAAGTTCAATTTCTAAAATCTTAGGTTGCGTATACTAACTAAAGTAAAAATCTTTACGATCTCAATCTTACATAGCTGACAACATGGATAGGAAAAAAGCCAGTAGATTTTAGGAAATAATATAAATTTCATGATTATTGTTGCAAAACATACTAAATATTTTACACATAGGGAATTTTAGGAACTTTTGTAGTCATCAAAATAGAAAAACTGCAATACTTTCCAGTCATGATTTCACATTAAATGATCTTGAAATGTTACGTATTATGTTTAATCATAATTTTGAATAATAATAGACATTTAATTCTTCAAAGATAGTTAACTGAATTTTATAAACAAGACTCACTTTATTATGCATTAGTGAGACTTATTTAAATATTCAAGCAAGCAATGATCTGCACAAAAATTCTATTTCAATCAGGATTTTTTAAGGAAACTTACTCAATTTTAGGGATTTTTCTAAAATGTACAAAAACCAGGAGGATTTTTACTAAAGCAATAGACCAGGAGAAACTGGCAAAATCCAGTAGAATTGGCAGCTATGATCTTATGAGTTTTACATCCAATTGTCAAAATTAGATACAACAGTTCTCGTCCAGCAATGTGAGTGCCCACTTTGAGAAGAGGGTACATAATGATTTATTCATAGAAGATTTATGGAGAATTGAAAAAATGTCCGCAATGAGAGGTTTCCCTATATTTTAAATAGATGTATATAAAATTTCATCACTTACTATCATCAACTTCCATTTTTTCTGATTCATTCTTAACAGTATTTGAAACCTATAAGAAATCGAAAGTTTTTCAGTGAAAGAATTTAAAAAACTAGGACCGTGGAAGAAAAAAAAATGAAATTTCAGCTTTAAGGACACATTTTAGATGATAGGGCAAAATATGATGCTTGTATAATCCTCCATAATAAAAACTTATTTGTTTTTTAAGTAAAAAAGCATTCAATATTTTTTTAAAAAAATATGCAAATAAATCCTTAGCTTTTCTACGCACATAATATTAGTATTTAAATGTAATTAATAGCATAAACAATATATAAATGCATAAATGAACAATGAAACTCATTAAAAATTAAATCTATGGAAAATTAAACACATTAAAACTTGTACATTCAATAGCAATACTTATAAATACAAGGGTAATTCTAAGTAAATACAATAAACTTATTAAAAGTAAATATCATACCCCATTTTGAGATTGATTTGACTCTTCATCACTATCTATAAGACGAGTTTTGCGCTTTTTACCTTGTTTTATTGGACTATCACTAAGTAATAAAACAATAACTTAAAGTTTGCATAAATAGGAAATGATAAGGTTTATGTAAATAAGAAAATTCAAACTAACTTACTTTTCCGTTAATTCAAAACCATTTTGTTTTTTTGATGAATTACTACAGTCAGCTGCAGAACCTTCTCTACAAAACATGTCATAAATATCAATGATAACTATTTTTGCTAAAATGCTGCATGATTATACAAGTCATTAAATAGCTTTGTAACTAGACAGTCATAAAAGCTTTTTTTTTTGGCTTAAATTTTTTTTTTTGGTTTATTGAAAAGAAAAGGTTAAATGGCATGTTTAGCCTCAAATTAAAAGTAATTCAGCAATTAAAAAATATTTCACAGGAATCCTTATTAACTATTGATTGATATTTTTTAAAGAACTCCAAAAAAATTACACTTTAGTACAGAAATATATGAACATGATACGAAAATATAATAACTAAGATGTTGAAATATGCAAATTTATTACTTTATAACTCCATTTGGCAAACAAGTAAATATTTTATAACTAAAAAAAAAAATTCCTTAATTGTTAGTATACATAAAAATGTCATAATTCAACATTATTTATATTAGTATAATTATTTAGCAGAATACAATTTGAAGCAACAATATCAATTAGTTGTCCTTAAAATAAACATTTCTAGTTTATTATTTATTGAATCAATACAAATTTTAATATAATTGGGTGTGAGACATTTTAATCAAAATATTTTTTAATAGAAAAATGTTTAAGATTCATAAAATGATGAAAAGAAATGAAACAGACAAATGGACTACATAAATATAAACATATAAAATTGTAAAGCTATGTTTTAGTATTAAAGATTTGAAAAATAATGAATAAATTACTTTTTTTTGTCACTTATTCATACATAGTCTTTAAATTTAACAATACCCTTATTGACGTACAGCACAATTTAATAAGTTAGACAAAAATATTTTAGATTAATATATAGAAATAATTAGAATATAATTAGAACAAAAATATTAAATATTTTTTAACAGACTTTTTTTAATATAATTTGAAAACTACAATGATTTTTTTTTTTTAACGGCGGGCAGTTGGAACTATTGTCCATTGGCTATAGAAAGTGCCAGAACTGCTAACTCTCTTTTCGTTACCCCGTGGGCAACTGCGGCGAAGCCACGGCGGTGGAGCAGTGTCGCGCACGTCACACTACCACAACCCATTTATAGGGCGGGTTACTTTCACACACAAAGGAGAAAGGGCATAGAACACAGATAGAGAGAAAGAAGCATCCATGCTTTGCCCGGGATTCGAACCCAGGACCTTTCTGATGCAAGGACAGCTCCCTGCCCCCTACACAGGCCGGTCGACACAATGAATATAATTACATTGCATATGCACTATACAAATTTATTTACAATGGCTGAAAATAATTCTACAATTAAAATGAAAAAAACATGAAATTTAAAAAGCACCTGTTATCCATTTTTACTTTTGAGTGCAGCTAACATAATGTATTTAAGTAGCTATCTAAAAATAAGTTCTGAGGAACTTGAATTCCTTCAATAATTAATTACATTACTTAATTTTAAAGACTATAAAACATCAGTTGTTTATTTTATTTTAAACATTTTTACGTGATATTAGGATTTAATTTTAAATTCGCTCTTATAAGTTAACAATCAGGAATGGCAAATTTCTTCCACAGTGGGAAAAACTGCTGAAAAACACTGGCTCACAGCCCGAAACTCTTAAGAAAGAAGTATCAAGTATGTAAAGAATTTTTTAGAACACTTTATAATAGAAATCTAGTTTATATAATAATAATACAGTACCGAACCCGTTATCCGGAAATCAGAAAACCGGAAAACCAAAAAACCGGAACGAAATTCCATAAATTTTCACGCCATTTTTTCTTAAATGTTTTTTTTCCTCATAAGATTTTATTTCTTTTTTGAAAGATGTTTACCTTACCATCACTTTGGAAATAATCATTAGTGTATTACTATTAGTTTTTTCTTCTTTTCAAGATTATTTCCAAATATTTTTATTCTTTAGTTGGGTTAAACAATAAAAAAAAGGCTTTTTGTAGCGATTCAGAAAACCGGAAAAATCAGTTATGCGGAATAGCGATGATCCCGACCGTTCCGGATAATCGGTTCCCTACTGTATTAATTTTTGAGCTATTTAATGCATCGTTTATAAATATTTAAAATTTAAAAAGCAGAAAAAATATTCACATTTTCATATGCATTTCTTAAAAAAATTTAAATAACTAGTTTGTCAATATTTTATATTAAACAGCCTAGCTTAATTTTATGATTAATGAAGAACTATTAAAAGAACAAAATCAAACTTTTACACCACTAAATTAACAAATTGCACATTGAATTCTCAATTATAAATAGAATACTGATTTTTATAATCAAATGAAGTATTAATACTCAAACCAACTCTGAAATAATATGATATATAGATTTCTAAATTTTCCATAAAATTAATTAATAAATAAATGTTTTATTAAAAAGTAAATAAAAAATTTAAACATTCTCTGTTACTATATTAAATTTAATTTGTTCAAAATTTGAGTTATTTTATAATATTTACTGTTAAATAATTGTAAGAGTCTTTTTTAATTTTTACCATTTTGTGCAGTTTTTTAAAATTTCTTTTCCAGTTACTCTCATTGTTCTGGAAAAAATAGGTTTCACCTGAACAAAATGCCAATCTTGTTTCAAACATATATATTTCTGTCTATTTCTGCTTTTAAAAATTGCAGATTTATGTTTATTTAAAATAATACAGATTACCAAAAGCAATTAAATTCCAAAATTGTAAATCTCTTCGTTTTTTTTTTTTTTTTGCAACTGAACGGAAAAATTAATATGAATAATAGAAAATATAATTACATGAAAAAAACTTTCTAAAAAACCGATTGGTTTAAACCCAATAAATCCTGCTTCAAGTTAATCAAATGATTACTTATAAAAATGTTCTATTTGAAAAATCATCATTAAACAAACCAATCCACAAATGGTCATTATCAAAAATACAAAAAAAACTTATAACCGTAACAAAACTTCAATCTGTGCATCATATTCTACAGAAAACTATGAAAAATTTACTCAATCCCTCAAAAAGACAAAAAAAAACTCCTCAATTATCCGATCTGCACAATTACAAAATTGTCAAATATAATCAAAACTTCAAATATCCACAACCAAATACAATCTCGCTTATGTTCTATGCCTTCTTTCATAACTCCATTTACATTTCGGCAATGACTATGTTTTAACTAACACCACATTATCATTTACCGCCAAACTTGGTGATGAAATCCAGAAAAACAAGTACGGACGTTTATACCTTGATATTTAGAAAATCAAATAAGTTTCTCAGAGTGAATAGAATATAGAATTTAATAGGAAGTAATGCAATTAAATAATGAAATAAAACAAATTCCTACATTAAAAAAAAAAGAAAAATAGTTTGCTTTGTTATCTGTACATTCCTGAAAGAACAAATAAGATTTATTTAGGATTCAAATAATTTTAAGAATGTATTATAAAATAGAACAAACTTTTCATTATGACCATTAAGTTCCGCTGATTCCTTAGAAGTTTCACTGAAAAAAATAAGACTGTTAGCAATAAAATTATTAGTAGTAACACTTTTAGCACTGCATACATTAAAAAGATTTAAAAAACACAATATAGCTGCAAGATAAAAAATCAAATTATAATAAGATATAGATTCTGGATAATAATATATATAAAAAACAAGCTAGGCATCAAGGAGAAACAGAAAGAAATTAATTACCTCCAGAAATCAATTTTAGAATTTTTTTTTATACAAAACAATATATGACATAATCAATACATGATATTGATAGCAAGTAAAGAATTTTTTTTTTTTCGGTCTTCAAATGGGAATGAATTATTCTCAGTCGTTTATTTAGTTCATATGTAATACATTCTTGGATCTCTTATCAGTTATAAAATTGATAACTAACAAATGAGGGAGGTGCCCACATGCCACTTATATCCTTGAAGGAGAAAGAAAGAAGTAGGGCTTTGAATAATTTATTGGCTATATAGGGGTGCACAACTTTTTTTAGTGAAGGGCCACTTCCACAGCACGTAGATTAATGAAGGGATGCACGCATATTTCGTCATGTTAGCGGCAAATATGATGATTTTTACTAAACATTAGTGTCCTAAGCAGTGTCTAACATTACTAAACATTACTAACATTACTAAACTTAACTTAACATTACTAAACATTAGTGTCCTTATCAGTAAACATAATAACATATTTGCAGAAAAGTAAATACTTTCAATTATTTGAATTTATTTAAAACTAAAAACACTGATACATTTTTTTAAAAAACTTTTTCCATTGGTGGTGTGATATAAATTCTAACCAAAAAGAAGCTTACAGAATGAAAGTGCAAAAAAAAGAAAAAAAATATGTATTTTATAGAGTAATATAAATTTGAATTAAATAATTCGATAAAAGAAAATTTATGATATTTAAACAAAACCAAATTAAAAGAAATTTTTACTGCGTTCAGAAGTTTCCGCGGGCAGCACATCAACAGTCAGCGGGCTGCATGTGGTCCGCAGGACATAGGTTGTGCACCCCTAGGCTATATGCATGATTTCTAAGCTGTTGTCAGATGTTTATGTTTAGTTTCATTATTGATATTTATTTCCAAAAATTAAGTATGCACAGTAACTCTTTATAAGAACTTATTCAAAAGCTTGGAACACTATTGTGTGCGTCTGCACGCGTGATGTCGAGCATTGCTCCCGATAGTACACTCATGTCTGCAATTACGGGCGAAGAGCCTTCTCTTCCGTAAGCATGCAGTGATAGCTGTGGCGATGATCGTTATCTTTAAACGATTTTTTTTTCACATTGTGATTCATCGTTTTGCTGATATGATGAATCCGTATGTGATTGAGAATCTGAGTGTCCAGCAAATCCTGTTGATTTTTTTACAATCAATCAAGCAGTTTAATGTTTTTTGTCCACTATTTTGTAGATATCCATGTCTTTGAATACTGAGAAATAATTATAAAAAAATGCAAAGTTTTATCCTTTAAAAAAAATGCAACTTATTATTTGCAAATTTACGCAGTACTAAAGATAAAACATTATTATACCGAACCATTGCAATGCATCGAAATATCCCGATGTTAGTGTGACGATACATTGAGATGCCATCGCCCAGTCCTAATGATTGTATTCTTTTAGTTTCACGAGTGTCAACATCTGGTTGTCACCTAAACTTGGCAATTACGTTAACACAGATGCTCATGCATAAGCTTTTCTTAAATAATTATAAACATACCATACCAAACCATTTAGCCTTTACAGCTAAGGTGAATAATAAGATATCATATATGTAACATTTAACATTAAATTATACATCTGCATCTTTACATATTAAGTGCAAAAGATGCATAGTGTCAGGTGGGGTAAAGTGGGTATAAAATATAGCTTTTTAAGAAGCTTAAAGCTATAAAGAAGGGACTCTATGACCAAACCATTACATTTATTTTACTGAAACTTTTAATGCATTTTATATACATTGGACTTATATGCATGTTTTGATATACCAATTTTAATTCAGAGTAGGGTAAATTGGGTACAGGGTTGGTACTCAAATCTGAAAAAAAAAATTCCCTGTGTTTTTGCTGTACATATACATTGTACATACATTATACACAATATATTAAGAGGAAACAACAATTACAGCTCTCTTGTGTGAGCTATATAGGACTAACTATATTTATTAGCTTTAATTGCTGGAAAAACAGCTGAACATACTTAAATATCCCATAGATTAAGCTTTGAGTGGTCACCATTTTCTAAAAGACAAAAATAAGAAACAAAATTCCCTGTATTTTCCCAGTTTGTAAAGGAAAAATCAAAATTCCCAGCAGTTTGACAGTTAATTTAGCTGATTTTTAAATTCCCTGTATTTTCCAGGCGTCCCCTGTGGAGTGGCAACCCAGGAGTATAATTCTAAATTCAGTATACATTTCACTAAAAACACATGTAAATGTTGTTTCAGAAATAAAGGTCTTTAAACGTATCATCAGGTTGAACTAATGTACATATGAAACATAATGTACAATGAAACATATATCGTATAAGTTTGTCATTAATTAATAGTTTGTCGGCATTAATTTTTTTATTGGTTTTTAAAACTGAAAAAGAAATGCTTGTCACAATCCCAGTAAATGTTTCTAAAAATATTAAACAAATTATCTCAATTTAAAAGGAGAAAATGAAGGTTTTTCAACATATAACCACTCTACCCTACTTGACCCTATAGATGTAAAATATAGCAGAATTAATACAATTGATATATTTGTAGAGTAAAACAAAGGTTTCTTAACATATAACCACTCTACCCTAAAATATAGCAGAATTAATGCAATTGAAAAGTTTTTAAAAGTAAAATAAAACTTATACCTTTTAAGGGAGAGTTTACCACTGTCATTAGATTTGTTGGACTGCAAAGACTTATCAGTCTGTTTGAAAAACGACCTGCAAACATAAAATATTAAATATACACTATATAATGTTATAAAATATTCCAGACTTAGATAAAATGAAAAACTTTCTACACACATTAATTAACTCCTGTAACTAGTTTCAAACATTTTGTCAAATTTTGTTGCAAAATATTGGATTTTTTTCATAAACTTTTTATATCTTTCTATTGATTCATACCACAGGGATCAGTTACTGCATTATGTCTATCATCTTTTATTGTATTTTAGATTTTTTATTGTGCTGTAACTACTGTCCAATAAATTTGCCATTGGAAACAAAAAAAGAAAAAACACTGGGATAAGTTTGGAAATAAAATTTGAAATCAAAAATTAAAAAAAGTCGTTCATAAAAACACTTTTTAAAGAGGGGGGAGTAAAAAATAAACACTTTTTAAAAACACCCAACGAAAAAAAAAAGCACCTTGGAGGAATTTAAAGAAGCGAAAATCAAATGAGCACCCATTAAAAAGCCACGCACCTTGTTAAATAATTGAAAAATAACTGAAATTTGAGTAGGAAGCATACATATGCTTCCTACTCAAATTTCAGTTATTATGTTATATATGTTTTAATAAATGAAGAACAGAATGTTATATATGTTTTAATAAAAAAAAATAGATGAGAGATTTTGTTTATTTCTTAAATTGTTAGAAAATGAATCTCAATGTGAGATTTTTAAATCACATGAATATGAGTCTCGATGCTTATTTTTAAAATCCCGTTACTACGAATCTCTATGTTTGATTTTAAAATAGTGCAAATTCCAATACTTAATTTTAAGTCACTTAAACCTGAATCATATAGTGGCTTTCAAATCACAAGAGAACAAAACGCGATATTGGACATAAAATAGTGAAAAGGCGAAATACGAAGCTCAATCTTAAATTGCGTAAATATGAATCATGATGCGTGATTTCAATTCATATGTATTAATTAATCAAGTAACTTATAATCGGGTTTGCATAGGTAGAAAAAATCATAAAAATTCATCTTTTTTTCAGGAATTCGAAAAAGACAAACTTTCCTGGAAGAGGAGAATATTTCTTTCTTAGTAATAGTAATAAATATTGCGCGTTGATGACAAATTTTTTGTTATTGACATCCATGCATATTATACAGTGCTGTACTAGACACTTAATTTAAAACTTGACTAATGTGCAAAAATAAAAACCCAATATTAAAAATTAATTAAATATATTATTAGTTTTGATGGGGAGATTTCGATATCCTGATCTGTGGCAGCATAATTGCCAAGTCTTGGCAACTTCCGGGCAGTGGCCCGAAAGAAGCTAAAAAAACATCACAGAATGGGACCAACTCGAAATGTATAACTCCGGGCAACTCGAAATCCATGAAAGGGATGAAACACTCAAATGTATAACTCGAGATATATGACCAAGCAAAAATATACATGTTTTTTTTTAAAAAAAAATGAAAATTTAAAATCTATTAGACGCCTTGGTGATTGTAGTTGGCGCTACAGATCAGGATACGGAAATATCCTCGTTTTGATCTTTTTCCCTTGATATTATTCTAAAATATTGGGGCAGAAGGTTTTACAAACAAATTATGCAAGTTCCTTTCAGCGATCATTTCACTCAACTCGGCATTAATCTAATTCCATAGTTTATCTCTAACATAACAAAGATGCAGACAACTTATAAATCTTTTAGGAAAGCTGCTCGATTCACTATTTTGAAACAATTAGGTTCTAAGAAGTCATGGATTTGCAATGAGAATCGGCTATTAAAACTTAGTTTAAATAGAATAATTAAAAAAAATTGTGCAATAAAATACAATATCAAATATCAGTTTTAATAAGATCCATAGAAACTCTAAGCAAAAGAAGGAAGTATTAGAAAATTATCTTTTAAATACGACGCTACAATAAATTTATGTTTAACAGGAGCTTCAAGAAGAAAAAATCAAAAGTTAAATAAATGATAAGGAAACACAAAACAAAAACTTACAGTATGGATTTCTGAGACATTTTAAGACAATCATAAATTATTATTAAGTTAAATGACTGAAATGCACATTACTTCAATAACATGAAGAAAAATATGTTAAAAAGCAAAATAGGCGCGAATAATTGCAAGAGTTTCAGATTCATTACCTTACTTATAGCTTACAAGGAAACTAAAGGAATAGATAGCAGCCTCTAGTATGAGGCGTGAAATTATTTTTTAACTGTAGCCGTGGTTTTATCACATGACAACTGCTGTTTTCTGTTTTCTTGTAATACTTCAGAGTTAAACAGTGAATTGAATCGTTCATTTAACTTAAATTGAATTATTTTGAAATCTAGTCTTTAATTGTATTAATACAATGGGTGCATCAGCAGTTCCTTTTGTGATTTTTACTTTATTCTGGTTATTGGTTGGAGGAGTTTTACCTTGGTTTGTACCTAAGGGAATCAATAGAGGGTACAATACTTTATTTACTTTTTTATTCATATTTTATTCATATTAAGATATATCATTCATATACTTTTTTATTCATATTCTACCTAATCTTACAGAAAAATTCCTAGTAAAAAAATACCTTGTTACTATACCTTATTACAGTATATTATACTTTCACTAGACCTTGAAGCTTTTAGTACTTCAAGCTTTTAATATCTTCAATTTTCTTACTATTTCTATCTCAATTTTTTATTTTAGAAAATCTCATTTTTAAGTTATTTTTCCTGTTTTCTATAAAAATATAGAAAATCGCCAAAACTGGATGGATGGGGGATTATAAATTTTTACAGATTTTCAGTTAAATGCCCTTAAAATAATCACTCCCGACTTGGTGATAGTTTTGTTGCAGATACCTCGAAAAAATTCTGCCACTGGATTAAAAATATATGTATAAAATTTCATGTTGTAGTTAAAATTCTGCTAATTATATCGTTCTGCTGGGTTTTTTTTCCTTGAAATTTTATATAGAAATTTCAAGGAATTTGGTTTTGTTTAGAAAGTGATCATTTTGTTTGTTAAATGCCAAAGTAAATGAATCTGTGATATTGTTTTTTTTTTTTTTGTGTGTGGCATAAGTTACATTTCATTTTTTTCTAAACAACACATTTATCCATGTTTTTGTAGATTTCTATTTCCATTCAAAAGTATTTGATTTGATATTAAACATACAGCTAAGTATTTAGTAATTTGAATGAATTTATTATAGAAATTAAGTTGTATTGAGTTTTTGTCAGAATAAGTGTACAAAAAATATTCTACTATTCTTGCCAGTTTCTATAGGGTCAAAACATTCAATAAAATTCTGCAGGAAATACTCTGTAAGAAAGAAAGAAAGAAAAAAAAGGAAGTGATATGCTATTTTATTAACTGCTTGTAAGGTTTTATGGTGCCAAAGTTTTCCAGATTTTAATATTTAATTCTTATTCCTACTCATTTATTTTTTCATTTTTCTAAAAACTCCATTCTCAGTGCATGCAAAAATTTTGCACTCAAATGATGATGGATCTGGGCCGGATTAACCTATAGGCACACTAGGCACGTGCCTAGGGTCTACAAAAAACTTGGGAGAAAAAAATTTAAAAAAAAAAAATCAAACGTAGTGAAATCAGAAAAACAGTTTTGTTTTTCTTGTTCCACTGCGTTTGATTTTTTTTCTTTTCACGATAAATTTCGCACTCAATAAATTCTTTTTATTCATAAATTTCATCATTAGGTTTTTTTTTTCTAAAAAAATTCCGTTGATCTTGCCTTGTTCCGGGTTTTAATATTTATGCTAGTGCCTTTTTTAACTATCGTTTCGGTTCGATAATTTTCAAGTGTTTTGATTTAGATTAATAAGTTTTCCTTTTATTTTATTGTTCCCCCTCCATTTAATTAGGTATGAAATATATTGCGTTATTTAATCATTGGTTTTGTTTATATAAGTTAATTTAGGAATTGTAATTATTTTTAAAAAATAAATATGAGAATTTTGTATTTTTTAAACTTGTTTTTCTTGTCTAAACTTGTAAATTTTTTATTCTTTTAAATGTTATATTTCTACCATTTTTTTTTCTCTTTAAAGTTAGGAGTACCTTTCTTTTTTCTCTTACTTTATGCATTACACTTTTTCCTTGTACTTCGGGTTCGATAAAACATCGATTAACGACACTTTTTGGTCGATCCAGAAAACCGGGAAATTCAGATATCCGGGATAGCGATGGTCCCGAGCATCCCGGATAATTGGTTCTCTACTGTAT